TCCATCACTTCATGGCAAATAGATGGGGAAACAGTGGAAATAGTGGCTGACTTTATTTTTCTGGGCTTCAGAATCACTGCAGATGGTGATTGCAGCCATGAAATTAAAAGGAGCTTACTCCTTGGAAGGAAAGTTGTGACCAACCTAGACAGCATATTAAAAAGCAGAGACATTACTTTGCCAACAAAGGTCCATCTAGTCAAAGGCTATGGTTTTTCCAGTAGTCATGTATGGATGTGAGAGTTGAACTATAAAAAAAGCTGAGCACTGAAGAATTGATGCTTTTGAACTGTGATGTTGGAGAAGACTCTTGAGAGTCCCTTGGACCGCAAGGAGATCCAACCAGTCCATGCTAAAGGAGATCAGTCCTGGGTGTTCATTGGAAGGACTGATGTTGAAGCTGAAATTCCAATACTTTGGCCACCTGATGCGAAAAGCTGATTCATTTGAAAAGACCCTGATGCTGGGAAAGATTGAGGGCAGGAGGAGAAGGGGACAACAAGAGGATGAGATGGTTGGATGGCATCACTGACTCAGTGGACATGGGTTTGGTTGGACTCCAGCAATTGGAGATGGACAGGGAGGCCTGGTGTGCTGCGGTTCATGGGGTCGCAAAGAGTTGGACATGACTGAGCTACTGAACTGAACTGAACTGACTGAGCTAAGCAATGCCTGGATAAAACATTACTTTTGGGTGTGTCTGTCACAGTCATTCCAGAAGAGATAACCATTTGACTCAGTGCACGGAATGAAGAAAATCTGCCCTCACCAGTGTGGGTGAACATCATCCAATCCCTGAGGGCCTGGGTAAAACAAGAAGGTGGAGGACAGGCAAGTTCTTTCTTCCTCTCTCTTCTAGAGCTGGGATGTTGATTTTCTCCTGCCCTTGGACATCAGAGCTCCTGGTTTTGGGGCCTTGGAAATCCAAGACATATACCAGTGGCCCCCCCCGGTTCTCAGTCCTTCATTATTTGGACTGAATTATACCACTGGCTTTCCTGGTTTTCCATCTTACACATTGCAAATGTGGGACCTCTCTGCCTCCATGAACATGTGGCCAGTGCCTATAATCAGTTTGTCTCTTGTTTCTCTGGAGAACCCTGACTTAACACACTAACCATACACAGGCCAAAACCTGAGTGAGATGCCACATCACACCCACTTGGACTGGTTATCAAGAAACTAGAAGATCAGGATTGGCAAGAAATTGGAACCCTGTGCTCGTTGGTGAGAATGTGAAATGGTACCACCGCTGTGGGAAACAGTAGTGGTTCCCCCCGCCCCTCCACATTAAACATGGAGTTACCACATGACCCAAAAGTTCTCCTCCATGAAAAGCAGAGATTCAGAGAGAGATTTGTACACCCCCATTTATAGTAGCATTATTCATGATGGTCAAAAGGTGGACACAACCAAGGTACCTATGAATAACAAAATACAGTATGTCCCTGCAATGGATTATTACTCATCCTTAAAAAGGAAGGAAATGCTGACATTGGCTGTACCATGGATAAGCCATAAAGTCATTATGCTCAGTGAAATAAGGACAGTATTGTATGATTCCACTTGGATGAGGTCCTTAGAACAGTCAGATTCATAGAGACAGGGGATAGAGTGCTGGTCACCAGGGCTTCGGTGGAAGGAATACAGAGTTGGTGTTTAGTGAGTGTGGTGTCTCAGTGTGGGAAGAAGACAAATTCTGGAGATGGATGGGGCAATCAATGCATGGCAAATGGATGGACTTAATGCCACAGAACCGTATGCTTTCAAATGACTAAAATAGTAAGTGTTACATATAACTTACCACAACTTTAAAAAAGACGGTTTTGATTTTCCACTCACCATCCAGCCCAAAAAACGTGTGAGATTTAAAAGGAAGAAATGCAGTCATTGTGTTCCACCAGGTCTGCAGCCGGCATATCTGGATCATTGGGATGGTAAAGACAATCACTTGGAAGAGCACGTGATTTTTTAATCTTTAATACAGATGTTTTAGTGTCAGGTTCAACTTACGGGAAAGTTTTCTGCCAATGTGGCTGGAGGAGTAAAACACAAAGCAGATTCCTCAGGGTAAAGGGTATCTGAAAACACACATCTTGGCCTGTGAGATCCAGAGCTGTGCTATCCCTTCTCCACAACATGCAGATTCCCTGGAGCCCCTCGTGGTGGACCAAGGCCATTGTGGGCCTGGGTCCTGGTGGCCCTGCTCCCCGCGGCACCCACGGGGGCATCTTTAGGTCACCAAGAGGTGCTCTGTGGACACAGCATGAGTGAGCAGTTCTCACAGGCACACAGCTAGGAGAGACGCAGTGCACATGGGCCTGGGTGGTGGTGCTGGCTTGATTTCATTCCTGTTGCTGTAAATTCTGTTAACTGCTAATATTTCTCAGCTTACTCCGCCGTGGCCAGAGGACCTGGCTCCCCAGGGTGTTTGCCGCAGTCTGCTGTGGCGGTGGTGATGCAGATGCGTCCCCAGGGGGAGCAGGCTGAGTGGCCAGAGAAGCAGGGGGAGGGGAGGTCTGGAGGGGTGGGGTTGACAGGAGGGACTGTGAGAGAGGGGCTGGGAAGCAAGTGGGTTTAGAAACAGAGAGGTTGATGTGAATTTGGTGAAATATAGGACTGAGTGTGTACAGGGTTTGGCGTGGATGTTTTTCAGGCATTTTTCCAGTTTTGCTAATTTCTAGGGAAATAAAACCATTGAGAATGGTTACTGCCATTTTCAGAAAATGTGCCACCCTTTTCCCGGGTCCTTCCTCACCTGCTTCATTTGGCTCTGTGAGTTCTGGCCATCAGGCTGTTCCCTGTGCTTTAATCTACTGCTCTTGTCACCACGAGTAGAATTCTGAGTCCTGGAAACAGTGGAAGGTGTTCTGTGCTCTTCTCGATGCCTGGGGCCTGGACACCTGGTTAGTCGCTCTGTGGCCTGTCGCCATTATATGGTTGTATAGTCAGACCTAAGGATGCCACCTGCTTGCAGTGAGGGGGGCTGTGCTGGACACTGGCCTGCAGGGAGCAGGGAAGGTTACCTTTGCCTTGGAAGGTCACCTTTGCCTGCTAGGTCTGCCTGTGGTCACTCTCAGGTCACAGGTCACAGGAGGCTATGATGGCAGATCATGTGTGTGCGTATTCTTTTGGAATCCAAAAATGTGGGCACTAACCTCGCTCTGATTCAGTTCTTATCAGTCACAACAGCCCAGCAAACCCTGCTGTAGCCAACAATGAGTTCAGAAGGGATGCCATATGGAAATACTCTGTTGACAAGTTCATGGTCTTAGAAATGATCCTTAGTCATGCCTCTTGTTTGCTTGTCACCTTGTCAGTCTGGCCAAACATTTGTGAAAAAAGATACTACAACTCAATCTCAGGTTCCACGTACCTGGTGAATATTTGTACTGAAGAATCAGTTCATTGGAAGATGCCTAGAGGGCTCTTAGGTTTGGGAAACTCAATTTTCAGTTTGAAAGCCCACTGGTGTGCATGGGCAGTGCTTTCCTTTTGCCGCTGTTAATGCAGGGCAGCCCCAGCTCGGAAGGCTTGATACCAGAGTTGCACACACACACACATGTAGATTGAGACTCCAGACCTGTCTCAAGGCTACAGTGGGGAGATCTGTTGTACTTGTGGCCACAGCTTTCCTCGAGGTGCAGATTAAGGGCTGGGGCTTTGTGGTCCTGGGTGTTAAACAGCCTCTGTTCAGCGGAGTGTGTGTGATCCTTTGGCTTCGGGTGCTGCTGCGTGAAACTAATTATCTTCCTGTGATGTCCACTCCCTGCTCCCCACCCAGGAACGGCACCTGTGGCCTTCAGACGGCTCTGAACCTCGGCCCACCTCAGAGGTAAGCGATTGGACACTGGCGAGGTGTGGGTGGCAGGAGATGAACAAGATTGGTGGAAGGGCTGAATGTGTCAGCACAGACAAAGACTAAGATGTGTGCCAATAACCTGGTTTAAGAGGTGGAGGAGGGACTTCCCTGGTGGCCCAGTGGTATTAAGACTTCACCTTCCAATGCAAGGGGTTCGATCCCCAGCCAGGGAGCTAGGATCCCACATGCCTGGAGGCCAGTATAACCCAAACATGAAAGTGTTGTAACAGAGTCAATAAAGACTTGGTATGATTGGGAAGGGGCCTTCTAGGTGGTGCAGTGGTAAAGAATCTGCCTGCCAATGCAGGTTCGATCCCTGGATGGGGAAGATCCCCTTGAGTAGGTAATGCCAACCCACTCCAGTATTCCTCCTTGAAAAATTCCATGGACAGAGGAGTCTGGTGGACCACAGCCCATGGGGCTGCACAGAGTTGGACACAATTGAGCACACACACACATACAATTGGGAAAATAAGTTTTTTGCCTTTAAGTTGAAAATATGGTATGAGAGAAGTTGATGGATGAATATTTATCTTTATACGTGTCTTCCTCTAGAAGAAAGTCGAATGGTGAATAAGTTATGTTAAGAAATGTCGATTCTTTTGGGGAAAAAAATCTATAATCATCTTTACTTTGGAATATAAAACATTTTTCATGTTGGTTGCTAAAAATTACAGGAAATTTTATCCAAAATAACTGGAAAACTCTAGAAGCCAGAAAGAAAAAGTCACTTGTTTCATATTTTAAAGTAACTGATAGGGCAACAAGTTCCTATAAATAAGTCATAAGTTGTCCCAGCCTTGTATCTGCTCCAAGTACAGGCCTGTGGAGTTGTCAATTACAAAGGAAATTCTGTACCCTTCCCCACTTCTCTGAATCATAGGACTAGAAGCTAGAAGGGGCTTGAGAAAGCAGGGGGCTGTCCTTACTTTTTATAAAAAAGAGTGGGACCTGGAGCAGGTCATGTGGGGGGCTGGCCTGGGGGTGGGGGCTCCTGTATTCTTCTTAACCCAGTGGGAAATGTACACATAGCACATACAATAACTCCATTAAACCTACATTTTCAGGTAACTGCAATTATCCGTTGCTGAACCATCCTGGGTTTGGCAAGGTGAGTGATGTAAGTCATTAGGAATGAGAAAACTTTTCTTCTGGAATAGTCTTTACTTGTTTTTTTGGTGGGGGAAGTTTTCAGACGGGTGAGAACAGACCAGGCGTGAATTTCCCTGCGGCCGTCACGTCCGTGGTCATCACTGTGCTGAGAACATCTCGCAGCCGTTCCTCTCTTCCCTGCAGACCATGTATGCCCCGCGGTCCAGGGATGGGGTGACTGCCCCGCCTTTTCTCCAGAGGGATCGGTTCAGCCGCTTCCAGCCCACCTACCCCTACGTGCAGCACGAGATTGACCTTCCCCCCACCATCTCCCTGTCGGACGGGGAGGAGCCGCCTCCTTACCAGGGGCCCTGCACCCTGCAGCTCCGGGACCCTGAACAGCAGATGGAACTCAACCGAGAGTCGGTGCGGGCACCGCCCAACCGAACTGTATTTGACAGCGACTTGATAGGCGTGTCCGTGTACAGTGGGGGCCCGTGCCCACCCAGCAGCAATTCAGGCATCAGTGCCAGCACCTGCAGTAGTACCGGGAGGATGGCGGGGCCGCCCCCGGCCTACAGTGAGGCGATGGGCCACTACCCGGGCGCCACTCCCTCCCATCCCCAGCACAGCAGTGCGCACAGGGGGAGCAGACCGCTGCTCCAGCGGGAAGGCCTCGGAGCACGGAGCTGCCCATCCAGGGCACGGACAGGAAGCCCAGGGAGTGCGTCTGACCTTCGAGCACACCTGATGTGAGAAAAGAAATGGGGGAGTTGCAGCACAGCAGAATTCAGTAAAACAGAACAATTCTTTTCAGGGGAGCCACATGCAGAAGGGAATAGTGCAAACCTCCAGTCTGGCCACAACAGTATTCCTCTGTGGCAGAGATGGGACAGGGTTGGTTTTGGCAAAGTGTGGGCATGAGAACACAAAAGGGTGCTTTGAAGACACCATGAAATAAAACCCACGAGGTGTTTGACTTAACTGTGAAAGCAGAGGCCAGAATGCCTGGTTTACAATTAACCGAATACAGAGGAAAGTTATACATTATGGGGAAGACTCACTAGTTTGCTTTCCCCCTGAACTGTGGAACTTTTGTTTTAAAAATATGATTCTAAGTTCCTGGTTTGTGTGCCAAGGTATAAAGTGAAGTCAGATGAATGCAAGGAGTTAAATCTGTGTTGTGATGCTGTGTTTTTAAAAATTGCACTATCTTCATTGTTTTAACATGAGGAAGCTTTATGTGAAGTCCTGTATGTTGTTTTCTCACCTGTGCATCATTATTAGGCCCCATAATAATGTTCCCCCCGTAATTATGCAGGAAAGGGTGTTTGGGGAGGTAGCCTAACATACTGCTAACTTACACTTGTGAAGAGAGCATCACAGGGCATGCATCACCAAGGCACCTGCAGACTGGATGGAGCAGAGGAAACTCCTGCATCCCTGGTGGGTCGAGTCCCTCCAGCTGTGTGTTTTACGCCTGCATTCACACATCATGCAGTGCTGCCCTAGTCCTCCAGCAGTGCAGTTTCTGCAGTAATTGTTTTTTTTTTCACTGTAGCATGAAATATACTCAGATAATACACTATTTTATGCAATAAATTGTTTAAAATGCAAGGTGGTTATTTTTATACTGTTGAAACATGTGATTTCCTGTGGCCTGTCTTTCCCTGGATAGTTGAGTTCAGGCCTGGATGGCTGATCAGTGAGACTCGGCAGTGGCTCCCGTGTGCCTGCTGCCCCAGTGTTGCCTAATGCTGACTGCAGGTTCTGTGTGTGTAGAAACTCCTGGGTTGAGGAAGAGAACCAGCCCCATATGGGAACCAGCGCCTGGGAGAGACACAGGGCTCAGAACCAGCCACGCTCCTGGGTCACCCAGCCTCTCCTGGAGACCAGAGCTGGGCAGGGTGACTCAGAGCCTTGGGTGAAAATGAAAAGCACAACCTGCTGCTAAACTCAGCTGGAAGACTTAAATCTTGTAACGTTCGTTCTCACCTAACACAGTAACTTCCTTCTGCAGGGCATCTGCCTTTTCTGCACCTGAGTGGGGGCTTCTGTGCAGCCCCCGCTTGGTCTCTGACCTGTAGGTCCGAGTGTCCACTCAGTTCCAAGTGTTTCATCTTGGGTGTGGTTGTCTGGCGAGGTGCCCTTGTGCCACTGGCAGAGCACTGTCAACCTCAGATCCTGTCTGCTACCCTTTCTGAGGCCCCTCTTGGCCGGTAAGTCCTGGGTTTTGTCTGGAGGATTGGAATCCTAATCCATTTCACAGTGACATCCACACAAGTAGTTGTCTTTCTCAGAAGGAGAAAATGGTCAGCAGTTGTCACTCATGCTTCAGATCCTTTTGGGCAGTGTGTCTGCTGAGGGCCACAGTGGGAGCTCTAGGACAGGCAGCGCTCTGGGGGTCCTGACCAGAGGACCTCTTCATCCCCCCATGAGGTCAGACGGCCTTGACCGCGAGCCTGCGCTTGGTTAATGGAGGCCTCACCTTGAGTTGGCAGTGAATTTGGGGAAGTGCTTGTCCTCCTTGTCTGCAGCAGATTGTCAGTCAGGCATCCTCCCAGGTGCAGAACGAGGAGGTTGCCTGATGGTGTCGTCATTCCAAACTTCGCCAGCACTTTTGGGAGAGTGGGTGAGCCCAGTCTACGGTTCTAGCTCAAAATGGTGAGTTACGCTTAGAAATTAGTAAATTTCTGCAAGTACCTGAACATCTAGCACCTGTCCACAGTACTGGCAAAACAATTAATTCAAATAACTTTGTCCTTTAAAACAGATGTTGCTCTCTTTCAGCCACCCTATTAGATAACTGCCTCTAATGTAAACAGTTAAAGATGTCTGCATCTGTAACTATTCAAAGCATGACTTAAATGGTCTCTGAGGCTGGGCCTCTGTAATGAATTAGTTTAAAAGCTGAGGTCCTATACTGAATTAGGTCAGTCTCCCTTCCATACAGGGAGGTGATTTAGGTCTTGACTCTCTCGGAGGTTGTGTGGCCTGGCATGTATAGGAGACATGGTTCTGAAGCTGCAGCCTAGTCAGTGGGGCCTGAGGGTCCAGGTTAGATGCCAGAGTCAGGTGACCAGGGAGCAGTGGGTGGAGGCTGGGCTCCACCATCTCAGCAACACCCTGGGTGTGAGCCTTGAGCAGGCCCACCTACAGGAAGATTCACGCATCTGTTGACTTTTTCAGGAAGCCTGGTTCCTCAGACACTGAGGTTGTCCTTTCCTACAAAAGAGATTTTGCTAAACAAGCCACGCATTTACAAAGTTCTTGTGACCAAAATTCAGTGTTTAAAAAGCTTGACAGGCCTACTCTCTGTCCTCCACACCACAAATACACTTGGATACCAGCCCAAACAGCAGAGGAAAACATGCAAAACACAGGCAGGTTTGTTCTGAGAAGGACACTTAAATCCACTAACTGCAACTGGGAGAGGACAGGGGCTAGTAGGAAGGGGCCAGCGGGAAACTGCGGGCCTTTCACCCCAGCACAGGGATCTGTGCTCAGATAAGCATGTCTCCAACTTCGAGTTACTGCTCTTTACTTGTATTTTATCGTCTTAAGAAGGGCTCAAAGACCAGCACTTTTCAGAAATGCTCAGACCTGGCAGAATCCATTCCAGTCTCTGCCTTCCTCAGATCCAGAGGCTGCATCCTGATAGGCTGGCCAGGGCCTTACTTCCACCTGCGCTCTGGTGGGGGTGTCCCTGCAGACACTGGCGGGGGCCGTATGCCCCTCCAAAGCAGCTTCTGTCTGCTGCTGGCCACATGGCTTATGTGCCTGCTGAGATGTGGCAGCTGGGGGCTGCTCCCCAAGCCTTGTATTTGTGGTGCTGAGGCTGCTGCTTAGAATGACAACACGTTGGTGTACCCTGCTACCCTGCATTTTTCTTAAAATTTCCAAACCTCAGCAGTGTCAATGAGGAAAAACCTGGGAAGGATACTGGTGCTGGGTGTGTGGCCTTGTGTTGACAGACACCTGTTTCCCTTCTGCATGGTCGCCTTGGTTACCATGGCTTTGGTGAAGTGGAGATGCATTAGCAAGTACCCCCAGTGTGAGGACAGTGTGTCTAAAGGGGCCCAACAAAAGCAGATGAAACACCTACTCTCACCCCAACCATGAAAGGGTCCCAGCGGCTCACTGCCTTACACAGATTCCTTAGAAATCAGGATCTCAGCTTAGGTTATTTTACTCCCCAAGTGCTGCATCTTGGGTCTGTATTCATGGTCAGGGTTAGACAGTCATGTGCTGCTACTGCCTTTGGGTTGGCTCAGGGAGGGAGGCCTTGTGAGCAGTGCTGTCCTCAGCGTGCACAGTGCTGCGTGAGAACTGTCCAGATGCAGGTGATGAAGATCCTCATCCTTTCACAGAGCTCAGAGTGCAGCAATTCTATAGTGACTGAAGTACATGTTCTAACTTCAGCTGTGGCGTCGTGATGCCTCACTCATAACGGTGCTTTCAGTGTCTGTCATGTATTCATTTTGTAAGGTGCTGTATAGATAACTTGACTATATTATGCACATATCCTACCCGATGGGTGGAACAAAAACATTGGTACTGCGATATAATGTACAGGTACCAGATTTAACAGAAATGGCATAGAATTTGTGAATGCCTATGTGCTTTGTCCTCTTTTGTAAGGAAATCTGCGAGTGGATGCATACAGATAAAGGTCTATGTCATTTATTTTCTTATTAAATATTGATATTATAACAAGGGAAATAAGTGTGAACAAGCTAGCGCAGCCTATGTACAGCAATCAGAGTTGCATCTTTATTGTGAAAACACTTTTTAAGAAATAAGTTTTTAAAATTCTGTAGCCTTCTGGGGCCACCAGATGCTTATTTTTAATCCCTTCAAGTTCAGTTGGACCAATATTATAGTCAGAAAAAATGCTGATTTTTCAACTTGCTTTATGAAAACATATTCTATCTTACATTGTAGAATGAAGAGGGCAGACCCAGTGAAGAATGCACTTTTCATTAAAATTGCAAAACTTAGGTCAGAGTGAGCACAGTGGCCTGCAGCAAGGATTGTGCAGTCTAGATGCATTTGTGACCATCTGTCTCTCTGTGCCTTTTTGACAAATGGAAGCTGTGAATCATTGAATGAGCAGTAGTGTTTGCAGAAAAGTAACTCTGGACAAACCAGTCCACTTGAGAAGACCCCATTCTCAGAAAAATGTCTGTTACGGGTTATAGTGAGCAGACTGGCAGTTAGTCAGCTGAGTAAAGTCTTATAGCCCTTCCCTTTGCTGTCTCCTGGTGATAACTACCCCAGAACCAAACTAGGCTTTGCTGTTGACCAGGGACCACGTCATTTCCCCTGACAAAGCATCTACTTCCAGCTCTGTCGATTCTGACAGTGACCTTTGTGTTTATCTTCAAATATTCTAATAGTAAAAAAAGAAGTGACAACATTTACTAAAACCACTGATGAAACTGTGGCTGTGGGCCTACTTCCGAGTTCTGTCCATGGAAGTCATTGGTGAAATTCTGCCCATCTGATCCATACTTCCAGTTTAGTCTGTCATCAAAGGATGTCAATTCTAGTTAATTGTTTTTTATTTGTTCTGTGGTATGTGTTCTGATTTGAAAATCACGACGGAATCATACTCTTGTCCACAAAATAAGTACTGACTCTCCTTAAACTGAAAGTGCCTCTGCAGCTCTTGATGCTAACAGATCAGAGGTCAGTCCTTCAGCTCTACTTTTCAGGGGCCACAAGATGATGAGGGTCTGTGTTTTCTGCACCCACAGCCCCTGTGTCTGCTCACTGCTAGCAGCAGGGTCCTGGTAGTGCAAGTCAAGGGTGGAGGCTTCTCCTTGTCAGAACCCACCCCCCAAGGCTCTGCCTTTGGGAGGATGCTGAGCAGGATGTTGTCCAAAGCACTAAACCTGGTACACAGCATGGCTTCCTTTCTACAGGACTAATTGAGGCTTAAACTTTACTGTTTAATGATGCTGGTTCATTATAATGTGCTTGCTCCTGTATTACTATTCTTCATTTCATGGCTTTCAAAAATCACATTTTCTGATATAAAAGCTTTTTTAAAATATGTGTAATACTATTAATAGCATTTAGTTCACTTTCACTAGACTGCTTTATAATGACAAGTACAGCTGTATCTGAACTTTTCAGTAGTCATAGGTTCAATATCATAGTTCACATGACCTGTGATAATCCAACATCATGAAGTCTTTTTTAAACAGCCATTTGTGCTTGCTGTTCAACATAATTTCCAGTTATAAAGAGAAAGATTTCCAGCTGTTTTGTACCTGCCTTTCTAACTGAGCAATGATACAGTTCCTAGACCCAAGGTCTGTAATCGCAATCCTTAAAGGACAATGATGCTCTAGTGCTGTGTGTTACGAAATCAGCCCTTTCAGTTTTTAATGCTGTGGTTGAATTGCAGCTTAAAATCATTAAAAATAATCAGTAATACATGTGTCTCCTGTTTTTTTTTTTTTTTTTACAAAAAATCTTTCACAATATATATTGGCCGGGGGTGGTGGGGACTGTCAGCACTTAGAAAATCGTCTCAGAAATGTTTCTTATGCTTCCCACATAACCATCTTATTCGGTTATTATTCTGACTTTTCAGAAATCATTACATTCTGCTATAAACAACACTGGCAGATCACATCATACAGTTCTGGTTTCTACACAGAACATTCAGGGATTGTCACCTGACAGGTGTCACTTCAGGCTTCTGGTGAATGAAACTAATAGGAACTGTTCAGCAGATGCCCTTAGAGGCTGAGGTCATTTGTATCAGAAGTTTTCAGTTCATGATGATGGAGCAAAAGGAATTCAAGATTCCTTCACTGAGAGATGAATGATAACTCTAAGAGAATGATAACTCTAAGCTCCAAGTAAGTACACAGATTCACAGATCACATGATTGAGAATGTATAAAACCTCATACAATCCATCAAAAGTGAAGTGTAAATGTTAGTCGTTCAGTTGTGTCCAACTTTTTGAGACACATGGACTGTGGCCCACCAGGCTCCTCTGTCCATAGACTTCTTCGAGCAAGAATATTTAAGTGCATATAACTGAGTTTAGTTTGATTGCAGGGAAAAAAATTAATATAAAAAATTAATATATTTTTGCATTTCTATACATTAGTAAGTGAACTTTGGAAAATGAAATCTTAAAATACCACTTAAATAACTGCCTGGGCACAAATCTCTAGTTATAAACCCATTTTTGTTTTGGTCACACCATGTGGGTTGCAGGATCTTCGTGCTATTGAATACATTTTATAATCTCTTACTCAGCAGTTATTTAAGAAAATTTAAAGCCTTTTCCCCAAACTTCTATCCCTCAGTGAAGTAAGACCAGTATATAAACTTTGCTCACAGTTGGGCTTGATTCCTACTGGGTTGGGTTCAGTAAACCCATTTCTATGTGAGGTTGCCTGGGCCTAAGGTCTGAGTGCAGGGAGGTTACCTCAAGCTGCTCCAGAGGTGGCAGGAGACGGTCAGAGTGGGCCCACTGGTGTCCATCTAGGCAGCACGGCTCTGCGTAGCCCTGAGGAACAAGGGGCTGTGCTGGAGGACAGCAGGCGGGAGGGACGCTGATCTCCATCGTCAAGGGCCTGTGGGACCCCTTCCTGCAGCCCTGGCTGGCTATGCATTGGAAGACTGAAGATTACAGAAGCCCCAGGCCGAAAGCAGACAAGAGGACGGGAAGCTGCTAGGGGCCCAGGAGCTGTCTGTCGGGCTGGAGCTGAAGCACTGGAGGCCAAGGAACCCCACATGGGTTCTTCAAAGCCCAGGTACTGCCTGCTGCCTGGCCAGGGAAGGAAATGCCAAGGTCTGGACCTGCCATGTTCCGCTTGGGCTACACTTAGCACAAGATGTGACAGAGCCCAACACCTCCCTCCTTGGTGGGCAATGGGCTCCTTCCCCCCTCCCCCCCCCCCCCCCNCCCCCCCCCACACACACACATGGGGAGCTCCCACTGCACTTTGGGGGCTGTACTGGATCCCAGACCCACCCCCACCCCCCAGTCTCTGGCTTTCTTGGACCGACTTCTGTTCATTGGGTCGTTTGTGATACAGCAGAGCTGCCAACTGCTAAGCAAATGGACTAGTAACTCAGGCAGCCCTCTCACTGAACCTTCGGGAGACATCTTTAAAAAAAAAAAAAGGTGTGCTTGAGAAACCTCTAGAACCTTCAGCGATCCACTCACGGTGGCCTTGGAACAGGTACTCTGACTCTCCATGATGACACTTGCACATAACAGTTTATAACAAACCTGTTACTTAAAACATCATAGTTAAAGATCTTTCATTATAGTGTTTTGACATTTTGCTTTGAAAGAGCTAGATGTATCTAATAGTCTCTCTTCTTTATATACCTCTTCTACCCAAACTGTTAAGATCTTTGTAAAATTCCTGGAATTACCTCCTAATATTACTGAAATAAGACAGCCAATAGCTTCATATCTCACTGGAGCATAAAGGACTACAGTAACATCTTCCGTCCATAAATAAACAGAAGGTAGATTCTAAAACAAACTAAAGACTATATTTGAAGGCATAGTCTTATTTTCACTAGTGGCAGGAAGGTGACCTTAATATATGTACTCTTCCCTTTGTTGGAAGCTGCAAACAGCACCCCGCTATATGCAAAATGTTGATTCAGTTAAAAAAAATAAAATTGTTTTGATACTTTAAAAGGTTGGTTTCACTATTTTTCTTGAATGGTCTCTTTTTTTTTAACCTAATCTATTTTTTGTTTCAATCGTTAATTTGTTGAGCACTTTTTTCCATTTTGTAGACGTTAAGTCTCAGCCATGACTCCTCCTTTACCTTGTCAGCAATCCTACTTAAAAACAGATGCACACACCAGACACAGCAAGTTTAGGCTTACTGTAAATGAAATGGGTCGTGATACTTACCCCACATACACATTCTGGATAATTTAACTCAGTGCCCACTATGTGTGCTACTGGCCTGCTATAAACACTCCATATAGACACTCCAGGGGTCCCCCTTTCGGCTCTCTGTAGCTTCCCTTAAGGACTAGGTTGGCAAGATAAGAGCAGAAGTGTTTGACAAGATCAAGTAATCCTGATACCAAATATGATAAAAGAACTTCTTATACCTTCAGAGAACATTTTACTAGAGAATTTCAAAGCACTCCCCAGCATCTCACTTTCTGTAATTGAATAAACACAAGAGAGTTATGAAACTGGATGGCAGCAGATCTCCAATGGACTGAACCAAAGGTGGAAACGCAGCTTCTTAGACCCACGATTTATCCTCATTGGAAAACATGCCCTATGCAGCGTGAAAAGTAAAAAGAAAGTTTCATTTAACACATGATTTTTAAACCAGGCAGTCTCAGTGACTAAAAATAAACAAGAAATTTGTTAATATCTATCTCAGCATTTAACATTCACAAGATATGAATTATTTAATAAGTTAAAACAGGTTCACTGTTTCTGGATTTGAAAAAGGGCTGTGAATTTGGAATCACACGTTTGATCTGCATTAGCAGATAAACCATCCTGCCTGATGAACCCTTCGTGTGGCAGAGTGAGTTCTGCCCCTTCATACTCTGCCTTCCCCGACCAAGAAGAGAGTTACCACAGCATATCCAACACAAGAGACATATCAAATGTAAACATTTTTTTTCCCTTCAAAATATTCTCTAAATTTGGCCACTTTGGCACACAAAGTGACGGTGATGCCTGTGGGACTATTTCTGGCAATCCCTCTGGCATCCTCTTACTGAATCAGATCACTCACAACAGACAAGCTACAAAAGAGGCCGTTCCCACTTTCAATTCTAAGGTTAGAACTGGAGTAAAGGCAGTCAGAGCAGAAGGAATCACACTCACTTAGAAGTGACAACTTTCTCATCTGACGATGACTGAATTTCATTTGAAGCTGGTTTTAATGAAAGCTTTGCTATTTAAAAAAAATTAAGTAAAATGTTCAAGTAAGAATGTTTCAATGCAAGGAGCAAACAGTGTTTACAATCTTAAATGATACTCCATAATGGAATCAAGCCTGACTCTGGCAGGTGGAGACCAGATGGCAGGGACAGGAAGGTCCCACACTCCCAGAACTGCACTGCTGAGAACACAAGCTCCAGGCACTGCTGTGGGCATTTGATCCCCACTATAAACTTCAGGTATAATGATTTCTCTTTTCCTCTGAGAGATCAGCTGGAGAGGACATGATGTAGGAATAACAAGAGTTTTATGTGCTGGGTGACAAAGTGCTATGGCCACATAGATTTGCTTAAAAATTTGATTATGGCAAGCTTCAGGTAAAAGTCATTTTTAAAGGGTCAATTTTTCATTTACATGTAACCATACATCTTATTTACATATATATATATGACTCAACTTTCATTCAGCTTTCTTCATTTGAAGTCTACATTTTAACTGATATGTAACCATTATATAGTCTTCACAGAAGGACTACATATCCTCACAGTCACAGGCAGTTCTGATGATAATCCTTTGTCTCCATATTGAGAACTGAACACAGTTAAAGCCTCAGTGAATAATAAAGATGAAGATCCAGTGTTAAATCTGCTTACAGCCACACCAGCTATTCAAGGAGTCAGCAGCTGCAACTAAGTCCAAAGCAAGGATGACTGAAGACAGGGACCACTGCTTAATGCTGCTACTGCCATGAATTCTTATAGTGCTTCTTATACTGGGTTCATTTTTTCTTTTCAAAAAACTGATTTTTCTAGTAATGTTTAAAGTTATCTCAGTTCTTTAACTCAAGAGAACTGCTATATTTAGGCTGCTAACCAAAAAAAAAATCAAGAGCATGTACCTTTGTCCATAGTCTCCAAAGGTTCAAGTGCAAGAGCTGTCTAAAACCTGGTATATAAGGCACCCTATTCCACTTTTTTCTTAAGAGAAACCTTTCCTTTGGTTTCTTGCAGTTTTTCAGTGAGTCTGTCCTTTGTCTCCTCCATCTTCTCTGTGAGGAGCTCCTTTGTTTCCTCCATCTTGTCTTGCAGGTACTCCTTCACGGGGGGTGGCGTTGACATGTAGCCCCGGCTACGCAGATACTTCACAGTGAAGGAGGTCCCCCCCAGGGTTACAGTGTACCGCGCAGGCGTTGCAATCTGCATGTTGGAAAACAAGACAGTTTAGTACTGATTATAACTACCATCTTAAGCAAAAACTGGCTGGCTCGGTGGTAAAGACTCTGCCTGTGATGCAGGTGATGCAGGTTCCACATCTCTGTGTCAGGAAGATCCCCTGGAGGAGGAAATGGCAACCCACTCCAGTATTCTTGCTGAGACAATCCCATGGACAAAGGTGCCTGGCAGGCCACATAGTCCATGGGGTTGCAGAGAGTCGGACACTATTGAGCACACATAAGCAAAAACAGTGTGAAATTAAAACTCTTGGTAATAACTATCAATTACTTTATTGCTTCACAAGGCTAACATAGTTACATGCTATATGGTTTTCCCTAACATTCCATAAGTATTTGTCACCTAGACACTGACCCAGGATCAGAGAACATACACAGTAGCAGCACCGAAGTTTGTACTCACATGCTAATGAACCTGGGGGACAGGAGCCCTGAAAATCAGTGAGGGCTCAGGACCCTCCGACAACAAAGGCATATGCATTTCCAGTCTCAGAAACCCTGTCAAACTGCACACACTATACCAAGCTGAGGGGCAAACATGAGCCAAATGTTTGTTCTTCACGGAGTTTAGTTTCACTTGTAAGTCTCTTTTCTTTAACTTTCCCAGGCTTTATGATACTTAATCATCACAGTCCACACTGAGTCTGGAATCCCAACCAGGAACTTTGTGAGGCGAACAAATGGTAAAATGGCACACATGTAGGAGACAGGTACAGGTCAACTGACCAGAGGTTAGTTAGTCCCGAACTAACTAGTAGACTAATTGGTTCAAAGGGAGAACTGTAACAGCAGAGGCTGCATCACATTCTGAGGCAAGGAACCTCCCTATCTGATGTTCTACCTGAAAAGTCAGGTTACAGGAAACACCCAAGTGGACAATTTACACCTCCCTCCTCCCAGAGGAACGTGAGTAGAGCCATTGCTGACATCAGCCCACCTGCGTGCCAGCCTCGTGTTTCAATTCTAAGCAGACCAACAGGCACTGAGCACTGATGTTCCTTCAGAGCACAGCACTAGCACAGTGGAAACGCAGAGGAAGAAGACAGAACTCTGAATTCCGAGGCACTCATGAGCAAAGACAACAGACATTCAGAAAAGAAGAAATACACAGACTGTGATATTAAGAGTATGAGATAAGAAAGAGTTATAATTAGGGAAATGGTTTAAACCATCAGGACAGCTGGATTTATTAAGGTTAAACTACACAAACTGCAAATTCATATGAATTTAATAAGTTTTAATGTTGAAAAACTCAGCAATTACGCTTTAGGCCTCTAGTCAAAATTATCATATAAGAAATCTAGTATTTCAGAGGACTTTAATGAGGATTAAAGTACTACTATAAACCCATAATTCTAAGTATTTTTATAACAAAGATAAATTAACATCTAGTTTCCCAATGTTTTCTACCTGGTTTCCTATAATAAAGCTTTGAAAAACCTCATAATTTTTTGTCAACTGAGAAAAATTAGATTAATATAGCTAAACTCCACAATTTACAATGAGTCTTCCAAAATAACCACAAGTATAAAAACTATCTATTTACAAAGATGTCATTGTCTGAATCTAGACAACAGTTGTAAAGATAATGAACAAATGAAATATATGTAACATCAACAACTAAGTCTAAGGTTTATCACATAAATCAGTTTGATTTAAACTTTATTATTTTACTTTTTAGGAAGATGCACTATTATAAATAGTAAAATAAATGCTAAATTTCACTAATATGTCAGGTGGCATATGGATCTCTGAATAAGGAAAATTAATGTACTGTCAATAGGAGAAATGTCAGAAATGACCTGCCTGCTAGAAACTCAGAAGTCTCACATGTGTCTCAGCAGAGCAGGCTATGAACAACCTACCTATTCTTAGGGCACTTCTTCTTAAACCATCATTTTATTTACCCTTAAAAAATGTATACTTTACTTTTAGTCATTAGACATGTAAGAGATGAAATACACTAAGTTATAAAGGTAAGCCTGGGAACAGGCAGGGAGTGTTATGGAGGTTCAGTGTGAGGAGCCGTCACCCACAGCAGTACCTACCTTAAACAGGGCATATGCTGTTAGTGCATTTCCACTCTGGGAATTTTTCAGAATGTTCACTATACTGTCAGGTAACCCAATAAGTTCTAGAAAAGGAACGACATTCACTCCTCTAAGAAAGAAACAGAAAGTAATTTATATGTATATAAACTTTTGGGGGTAATTATTTTCAAAAGATTACCTGAAAACATCAAAACCAAATTTTGTTTAATAGTCCGTTCTGCATCACCAAGCATACACTAACTCCACTCTAAGGAACAACGTGCATGAAGACCAGCATCCCACTGTCCACAGCTTCTGCTCAGGGACATCCCTCATTAGCACACTGAGAAAAATAGAATCATTTATCAGAGCAACATTAATAGCACTAGGTAACGTGAGGAAAATCAGAATCATTCACCTGATCTTGGAATCTTTAGTTCCTTAGAATGATCCAACTCAAACTTTTAAGACCTAATATTTTTATCTCTAAAATTACATGTCAAACGATACTATTACCATAAAAGCAAGGGATATTATAACATCACTTACTGTGTTATTATGCAAAGAATAAATGATTCTATGGATTTGATAAAACGTCAATGATTCTAAAAAGATGCTTCTGCTATCAGGCTCAAAAGGCACCTGAAGAAGCAATTGCCATAAACTGCAAGAAATTTTTGAAGGGAGGGAGAGAAAGTAGATATAGTCTCTCATCTAGCTGGTAAACCCTAATTGCTTTTTAGTTTCCCTGAGTGTGGAGTCTGCCACGCTGACATATTTGTGCTCTCCTGCTCTCTCCCTCACTATCCATACTGGGTTGGCCAAATGTTTCCAAAACATTGCAGGAAAACCCAAATGAACTTTCCGGCCAACCCAAAGTTTTGCTTTCACCCCTAAATCACAAGGTTCTCATTCTGTGCTTCTCCTTCATAAGCACAATCATCACAAGAAACTTAACATATAGGACAGTATATAGTTAATACAACAGTACGTTATTTAATGTTAAAATTCCCTGTATTGTCCCATGTCCCTTGTCACTATCTTCTCCATGTTTTCCAGCTTTTCTCCAGAAGTGCTACCCAGCATATTCTGTTGAGGAGGAAGGCAGGATGTCTTTTTTTGACGCTGAGACTTTTGAAGCTCCTGGGCCAGTTGTGTGGTACAACAGCCCCCTCCACTTGAATTTGCCTGATTGTTTCCTCATGATTAGATTTGGGGTAAATGTTTCCTGACAAGAAAGTTGCAGAGCTGATTCTGTGCCGTCAGAGCATCACAGCAGGAGCCCCAGGATCAGTCAGTCCCATCACTGATGTGAGTCTGACTTGTGGTTAAGGTCTGGTCCACAGGTTACTCCTCTGCACAAGTACTCTTGCTCTTTATAGTAAAGAAGGGGAATAGCCTGGATTCATTATTGTTATAGTGGTTATAATCTCCTAGTTTATTTTTAACATTAAAAATTAATTTGATTAACTGGGAAGTTGTCCCTCTCTGATCTCATTATATAATACTAGGAGATCAGAGAACTTTTTCCAGCTAAAATCAAATCAGATAAACGCAGCATCTAGTTGGTTGAATTGAAAACCTATATTTAACACAACTCCAACCTTACAATAAAATCATCTCACAGTCAAAGATTACACAGTAAGATTTACTGCCATTCCAACATACACTAATATTTTCTAAGTATGACTTCCCTTAGAACAAACTGACTTTTAATTTCTCAAGTGTTAAGGATCTAACAAAAACATTAGGGACTGTTCTGGAAAGCAACATATCCTACCTAATATAACTGAGCTATGTGATGCTGTAACAGAACTGGACCAGCAGTCATGGCTGGGCAATAGAGCTGGGTCTGGCAACCAAATTTCCATGCTGACAGAAAGCCAAAGGTAGGTGGTGGTGGATAAGGCATAGGACTTTAAAGCCTAATTAACAACACTAGATTATTTGAGGGTCTAATTTTTTGGTTACAGAACTCTGTTACAGAAGGCAAGGAAAAATAAACGGAAAAAAGTCCTCTTAATAGTCCAAATAAGAATCTCATATTCAATTAATTAAAAATTGAACTTTCTCCCCCTCAGGTCAGGAGGCTGCATGCTTATTGAAAACAACCTAGGGAAGGCAAAAGAAATAAGGAAGAAACTCATTATCAGTCACAAAACCAAATCAGAAAAATCCTCAATGGCTCCAAAAAGAAAATTTGGTATGTAGAAAGCCATTCATTAAATAGAAGAAATGAATGTCTATGAAATTTTTATGTAAAATGGTACACAATTTTAGGCTCCATTAAAAAACTAACAGCAGTTCTGAAGATTTCTATATTACAAATGTCCAGAAAATGTCATTAATAAACAAAAAGGTAACTCCATAAAATGCACATACAAAACCTCTGCAAAGAAAGGAACAATTCTTAAAGAAAATGATACATAATGAAGAAGGAAGTAACTGAGTAACAAGAACAAAATGCAGAGAAAGGAAAAGAAACAAAACAGCATCAACCACAGGTTAAAAATAATCCTTTTTAGAACACTGGCAAAGAAACATTTCTAGACTTGTGTTTCCTAAGAATAGTCTCCATTCCATCATCTTTTAATTTAGTAAAGTATAAGCTCTTTCCAACAAGTGAGCTTTATATTATAATACTTAATACCTATCAAACATTAACTATAACCCAAAACTGAAAAATCAGCAGTCTTTTGGAAAGTATAGAATAATTCTAAACCCACTAGGGGAGTTCAGGAAAACATCAAAATGGTCTTCACTGTGCATCTCGTCGCCTGCAGGATGATGAGCATCCTGCCCGCTTGGTCACACCCAGGCCATAGCAAGAAAAGCCACACAGCACTCAGGGAACAGGCATACATTGGCACACCCAGTTCTGCTGGTGGCAGAAACAAACTGGAAATCATAGGGAATCTGGTTGTACATGAAACTCCTGCTCCTAAAACAGTGTGAATAACACAACTCACTTTAAAAGAAAGGAAAGGTATTTATCAAGAAAGGTATATTTAGAAATTCTATATTTTAAGTGCACAACAAATCAACTTCTGATCAGAACAAAAGACCTTACCTTGACATTCATCAGATGTAACATTAAGGTATAAGTCTGTAACTTGTTCATTTTTGTGTCTATGACAGATACAAGTCAAGCTTTGTAAAAATCTTACTAATTTCCAACCAAAATCATGCACGTGGCAAAATAAGTTCTTTTCACAGTGATTAGCACTTTTAGCAATATTTATTTAAGTACGAAGCTAACTTATGGTGCTGTCAAATTTCTGGAATCGGTTATTTTATTTCTGTGCTATCCTAGATGCTGATGTGTCTGTCACGAGCACAGTGATTAAGATTTGAAATCAGGGAGGGGGGACCGGGACGGGGAATACATGTAAATCCATGGCTAATTCATTTCAATGTATGACAAAAACCACTGCAATGTTGTAAAGTAATTAGCCTCCAACTAATAAAAATAAATGGAAAAGAAAAAAAAAAGATTTGAAATCAGACTGAGTTATTTTGGGGAAAAACTAAGGTATTTTGACTTATTCTTGTTTAACCTGCTCTCTCCTTAATAAGAGGAATAATTACATTATCTACTTCATATGGTTGCTATGAGAATTAAATAAGATGATACAGTTACAAAAATTTTTGTATAATATCTGCTGTACATAGTAAGGAAATGTTAGCTATTGTTATTAAAATGTGGAAAACAGCTATGAAAAATAATCATCCTCTTATCAGTTGAAGACATTTAAAAACCTATTTAAAGGTTTTCATTAGTATAATTAACATTCTGACAAAACATGCTGAATCAAGCAAAAACTTACTTTATGGCTGCATAGTAAAATGTTCCAAACCAAACAGCAGAAGTTATTAGATGCACTGGAATCAAAACTTTTCCATATTGTCTAAATGTTTTCTTAAATCGTTGATAAAGACTAATAGATCTGTCTTGTAATGGATCAGGTTCTTCCTTTTTTTCGGAGGGATGTCCTGAGGATGTGGCACTGGATGACAGAACTCTCTTGGATAAGATATCCTGCTCCCACTGTTTATGGTGAAAGACCCCTGGTTGGGATGGAACAGTAATGAATGGCTTCCTTTCCTTTGCAACACACTGGGCAGTGGGTAAGTGCAGCCATCGTTTCTGAGGGCCCTGTACCACAACCACTCTGGATTCCGGGGTATACAAAAGTAACGGTCCCTTTATGTTTTGACAGTGTCCCAAAAGACCGGCTTTATGTGGTTCCATGCACGTCCTATGTGCCAGTCGGAATACAGTCTTTGGTACATTCCATTGCATTTTGAAGAATGGAGATTGATGGACCTCAGCTTCTATAGACACTAGATTTAAAAAAAAATAGATTATACATAGATTTCCATTGTAAACCCATCCACTTAAACATAAATTGTTAACTCTTAGGAAGTTAAAAGACAGACACTATTACCAAATCCATAGAAATTAATGTTAACGTATATAGTTCTAATACATCACAATTTTTAAATTTCATTAAAACACATCATTTAAATATGATACAGTAAACCACTGCAGCAGACATCATGAAGAGTAAGGTTTCAGGGCTGTTTTATTGCTACAAAAGGGGTATCTTTAGGGCTTCTCTCATTCTACAAAGAAGTAGTGTAATATAACAGGACAATCATATCTGGAAGTAAAAGAGCTGGGCTGTAATGTTTTGGGGTCATAATTCTGTGCAGTTATCTCTTAGACTGAACTTGAGATGGGAATTTCAAGACCTGAATTCATCACTCTCCACATCCCCCTTCTCTGAAAACAGAAGTCTCATTATACTTGTTTATTTGGCAAAAATGCTTTAAATCTTCAAATACATGGTCATCCAGAACCTGGTCTTTTGTTAAGTATCTGAGTAGTGGTATCCAGTGGTGATATCTTGCATATCTCTACTGTCACATCACATCATGGGCAGTGCCCTCTTTACCACTGAAAATAGTGAAGAGTGCTTTTAAGTCTAATCAGATTAGAGCACTAATTCCAGGAACACCATAACCAATTCAGAAAATTCATCCTTACAATTCTGTTCCTTTAGAACCACTCTTAGTACCAAAATTTGAATCAGAAGGGTTCTCCAGAGATATTGAAGCAACAGGAAAAAAACACAGATGTTTATCTACTTATCTCTATAGGGCTTCCCAGGTGGCGCAAGTGGTAAAGAACCTGGCCTGCCAATGCAGGAGACATAGAGATGTAGGTTCGACCCCTGGGTTGGCAAGGTCCCCTGAAGGAGGACCCAGTCCAGTATTCTTGCCTGGAGAATTCCATGGACAGAGAAACCTGGTAGGCTTCAGTTCATAGGGTCACACAGAGTCAGATATGACTGAAGCGACTTAACAGGCATGCACCTATCTTTTGGCTTATCTCTATCTAGATAGATATTTCTATCTATTGGGTATCTATTATAAGGTTGTTTAAATAGATACATGTTTATGTTAAGGAACTGGCTCACACAATTGTGGGGGCTACACATTTGATATGTGTCAGGTAGATTTGCAGGCTGGAAACTCAGACAAGAACTGATGCTACAGTCTTGAGACATTTTTTCTTCTTGAGATGCCTCAGTTTGAAATTTAGACTGAATGAGGCCCACCCACATTATGGAGGGTAATCTCCTTTACTTAAAGACAGTTGATTAGATGTTAACAGATTTTCAAAATACCATCAAAATAACACCTATATTAGTGTTTGATTAAATAACTATGCTTTTGAACTGTGGTCTTGGAGAAGATACTTAGAATCCCTTGGACTGCAAGGAGATCCAACCAGTCAATCCTAAAGGAAATCAGTCCTGAATATTCATTAGAAGGATTGATGCTGAAGCTGAAACTCCAGGGATCAAAGCCATGTCTACGGCAGGTTCTTTACTAATGAACCACCAGGGAAACCATCCATAACCAGGTCTAGTTGACAAAGCTACTCATCACACATACAAGCTTATAGATTTCTCAACCAAATCTTTACTTTCTACTATAGTAAAAACCTTTTAAACAATGATATCTTATGTGCTCAAAAAAAGGAAATAAAATTTCAGTAGGGACACTTTGGTTGAGTGAACTGGAGGAATGAACAGTTTTTCCAAAACTGTCTAGAGAAACACACCTTCCACAACCACCTCTTTTTCCTACCCCAAGAACAGTATCATTCCTGGGAAACTGTAACATTGTATCTACATTTAAAAAACAATTTTTATGTTTCAAAAAATGTGATCTTCAACCCTGCAATAGAAATGACACCTTAAAATTACACACCTCTGAGTGCTCTCACTTTAAGGGATGTTATCTACGGAATTTGTTGCTTGCCTTTGACCAGAGAACTTACAAGTTACCACTACATTTTTCTCTCATCAGAAAAAGTGAAAGTGAAGTCACTCAGTCGTGTCCGACTCTTTGCGACCCCATGGACTGTAGCCTACCACGCTCCTCTGTCCATGAGATTTTCCAGGCAAGAACACTGGAGTGGGCTGCATTGCCTTCCCCAGGGGATCTTCCCGTGGGCTTCCCTTGTGGTTCAGGTGGTAAAGAATCCCCCTGCAATGTGGGAGACCTGGGTTCGATCCCTGGGTTGGGAAGATCCCCTGGAGAAGGGAAAAGCTACCCACTCCAGTATTCTGGCCTAGAGAATTCAGTCCATGGGCTCACAAAGAGTCAGCGGACAAAAGTCTAATACAAAACAGGAGAATTCCAAACCAGTCTGGGTGAATGGACCAAATAATCAAAACAGCACATAAAGAAATGTTATAAATGGGTTGAAATAAATCCTGTATGTCCTTTCAAAAAAAAAAAAAAAAGAGAGATTTTGAAAAATCTTTCTAGGTGATTCATACATCTATAACCATCCCACTATGTGCCAGGCACTGTTCAAGGCACCTGGGTTAAATCACTGAACAAAATGATGATCCCTGTCTTGCTAGAGTGCACATGCTAGCAAGACAACATCTATCCAGCTATTTTCTCTCTGAACATAATAACCCAAGCAGTATGAAGTATCAAAACATTTTCTGAAAATCTACTATGTGCCAGGTAACTTCCAGTTCTGAGTTTGGCCTTAAAGAGGCACTGTTTCATTATTAGCACAGTACAGTCTCTGGGCTTTCCACGTGGCTCAGTGATAAAAGAATCTGCCCACCAAGGCAGGCGTTGCAAGAGACCCTGATTCCACACCTGGGTCTGGAAGATCCCCTGGAGAAGGAAAGGGCAATCCAATCCACTCCAGTATTCTTGCCTGGAGAATCCCATGAACAGAGGAGCCTGGTGGGTTTCAGTCCAAGTGTTGCAAAGAGTGGAACATGACTGAGCATGCACAGTCCACGGTCTCTGGAGTCAGGCTGCTTGGATCCAAAACCTAGCCCACTACTACTTCCCAGCTGCATGACCTTGGGCAAGTTACTTACCACTCATCTATAAAACAAAATAATCATAACAACTATCCCACTGGATCATGTACAAGTTAAAAATGAATTCAAATATATAAAAGTACTAAAATGTACTAGCAGACTATCAGCTATTACTATTTTAATTCGATTTCCAGAAAAGCAGTTATTACTCAGGCAATAGTGGGGAAAAATAACATCAATGGTAACTTTTTAAAATCTAGCTCATTTACCCCCTCCCTGGAGTAGGAAATGGCAGCCCATTCCAGTATTCTTGCCTGGGAAATCCCATGGATAGAGAAGCCTGGTGGGCTGCAATCCACGGGGTCACAAAAGAGTCAGACATGACTAAGTTACTCACTAAACAATAAGTTACTCCCTCCATCTCTACTATCCTCAAGAGTTCTTCCTGTTCTTGAAACCAATGGGTAATCGTTAAATTCATTTCACCTATAACCTGCCTTACACCACTTTCCAGTCACCTTTCTCTACACTCCCCCTGCCATCTCAGAGTGCCCTACTTCTTTATTCTTTATCCCATAAATACCCAGAGCCCTTCACCTTAGGGTGAAAAGTTAAAGTCGCTCAGTTGTGTCCGACTCTGCGACCCCATTAACTGTAGCCTGCCAGGCTCCTCTGTCCATGGAATTCTCCAGGCAGGAATACTGGAGTGGGTAGCCATTGCCTTCTCCAGGGGGATCTTCCCAACCCAGGAACCGAACCCAGGTCTCCTGCACTGCAGGCAGATTCTTTATCATCTGAGCCACCAGGTAGGCCTCTATATATCTTATGCACAACAATTCACGGTAAAGTCTAGGTAATATAGTTAGGAGGTTTTTAATCTAATGAGAAAATTTCTTAAGTCAAAATTAGACTCATTTTCTGTAAAATTACAGTAGCAATTCTCTTAAGAAACTTTAGCATCAGAACCCACAAATATGGATATGTAATTACACAGTTCTAAATGCATGAATATGTAGATAGCACAATCTCCAGCACTATACCTTTGCTTTAGGTGGAGAGCAAATGAACTTTAGGTGGAGAGCAAAAAATCTACTATAAAAATTAAGGATCAAAAAAATAAGGATCAAAGTAAGAATATGCCATGTGGAAAAACCTATTTCCCCAATGTGTTGTGCAAAGTAACAAGTACTTTTAAATCACAGTTTAAGTGAAAAAGTGAAAGTGTTATTTGCTCAGTCGTGTCGGATTCTTTGTGACTCCTCTGAGTGTAGGCCAGACTTCTCTGTCCACGGAGTTCTCCAGGCAACAAAAGACACATTTTGTTTGTCATAGTGATTTTTTACAGATGTCAGCGGTGGCAGGCCATTAATTTATGTTTAGAAAAATAAGCAAGATGTTTAGTTGAATTTTTAGGTTTGATACTTAAACTTTCTTGGAAGGATCACTGTATTTTTTATGCATGGAGTATTTACAAACATACTCAAAGTAACCTTGTGATATAAGGACAGTAATGATCTAAAAGGTGCATGCATCACTATAAAAACAACCAACTTCGAAAAAAAATGAACTGAAGTTAATTTTCAACTTAGCTCACTGCATATAATAAAAAAAATTACAAGTACAGTCATCGGAAATTGATGGCTCATCCTCATTTGTTAAAAACAGGCTTCGTTCTTGGGCCAAAGTTTATAAAGAGTCAACAACCTCAGAAAGGTTAAAGCCCACAATTTAGAAGTGACTGGATTCTAAAGTACATGCTGCAGACACTGCTTGCTTTCCCCCAAGCGAAGTCTACAGGCTGCTGTAACTGCGCCTACTGACAGGTATGCAGGCTAGCACACCTATTTCCACAGCTGCTTTTAAAGGATTCAAGTTTGGTAACGAAGAATAGAAGACACGTTTCTGATCACGTCTTTACACCATCTCGGTGGAAGGTGCTGAGGCGTCAACCACCTTAGTTCACAGGCACAGTTTTGACCCTAGCGTAGGGGGTGGAAAGCAGGAACGTGGGACACTCCGGTGGAAATTTGGGGGGAGAGGATGAACCAAAAGAGTTGACTCCCCAGCCACCCCATACCAAAGTCCAGCCAACAGATACTATCACTGAAGCGTTTCTCAAAAAATTGTATGGGCTGTCCTGCTCCTCCAGAGACTGACCGAGCACGGCCCTCTCGAGGGAAGTCTGGCCAGAACTTCCAAGTGCGGCGGAACGGAGCGACCCGCGAGGCAGTGAGAAGCAGGTCGCCGCGCGCTTCCAAGGCAAGTCCGAGCTCGGGGGCTCCCGGCTCCTCCCGGCCGGCATCCGAGGAAGGGCAGACCAAAGGCTGGAAAACCGCCCCACGGACAGGGTTAGCACGACACCGGGCCACTGCGAAGGGCGGGGTGACCTCTGTCCGCCCAGGGGCGCTCGCGCCGCGCATCACGCTGAAGAGGCCCCGCCGACCGCCCCGCCCCCAGAGGCCTCAACCCCCGTTACCTCAAGACCTGAGGCCGCCGTGCAGCCCGGAGGAGCCGCTCGGAGACCCCTCCGCGTCACTCCTCAGAGCGACCAGCAGAACGTGGGTCTGGCCGCCGGAAGCCGTGGGCTCAGGCGACCAGCCTCCCACCCGCCCGCCACGCCGTCCCTCCAACCAGGTTCTTGCGTCCCTTCGAGCCGTCGCCCTCCGCACGCCGCGCGCGGCACGCCGGGACTCGGGATTCCGGGCCAAGCGACGTGCGCTCTCCGGAAGTGGCGTCATAGCGCGCGCGTGGCGTGGTGCGGCTTCCGCAAACAAGAGTCGCGGATGGCTGGAAGGTGAGTGTGGGGTCGCAGCGCTGGGCTCCGTCTTCTTTGTGTGTAGCCGTGGGTGCTGTGGTGGAAGGGGCATTCCAACCACTGGCTGTGCCGCTTCGGCGGGTGCTGACGCGCCTCGGTTCGGAGCCAGCCCGGGTTCGAGAGGTCCGAGAGCCGCTTCAGGCCCGGCCGTCTGTCAGAGCGGCCGGCCGCCTGCTCTGCGTGGTACGGGCCGGAACCTCAACCGGGCCGCGCCGGGACGGCTCAGTGCGTCCTCGGGCCCGAGGACACCACTGCCCCACGGTGGGTCCGGCGTGGAGCTCACCTGCTTGAGTTCCAGCCCTCGGCCGGGTGATTCCTGAGAAACCTCGGGTGTGACTGCTTCGCAAATCACCAAGATGCAGGTTTGGTCGTTTATGCGCCTTCTTGTACGTGTCGGCCCAGTCCTTCCCTGAGGGTTCCGAGAGGCAACCCTCTTGTGTCGGGACCTAACTCATTACTCAGCTTGGACTCTCACGCTTACAGTCTTATCCATCTGTGGGGTCGTTTGGAAATCTGTGTCATTTATTCTGACCGAATTGTCTGTGGGACGTTTCATTGGTGGAAATGTCTCAGAGAAATATAACTTATTCTCAGTGGTGAATTTAGATATTACATTAGCTAGGGAAAAGTTACATCGTTTTATTTGAAATTAAAGCCAATTTTATTTCCTTATTAGGAAAATGATTACTCGATAATCATTTTAAACAGTTATTTAGAAAACTGCATTTCTGGGTAAGTTTTTTCCTCTTTGATTCAATTCTTGTTTTGGCACTTACTGATACTTTGTTACCTCAAACCTTGGATAGTGAAAGTTAATAGCCTTTGAAATCCTTCCTGATTTAGAGTGTCTTGTTTTTACCCATTCCATTAAACAAATTTATTTCTTATTCTGTTTCTTTATATGGAACACTTAGTAACTTTCAGGTTCTGAATTTATGGAATCTCACTAACTTTCCGACTTTTGTTTTTTCTTTTCTGGTTTGACTAATTCAGCCTAACATTTTAAGTGTTGTATCAGTTGTAAACTTCTTGAAGACTGACCTTCCCTGGTGGCTCAGTGGTAAAGAATTCGCTTGCCAATGCAGGAGACATGAGTTCCATCCCTGATCTGGGAATATCTGTCATACCATAAAGTGGCTAAGCCCCTGTGCCACAACTGTTGAGCCTGTACTCTGGAGCCAGGGAACCAAAACTAATGAGCCCATGTGCCTCAACTACTGAAGCTTGGGCACCCTGAAGCCCATGCTCCACAACAAGAGAAGCCACTGCAATGAGAAGCCGGTCAACCACAACTAGAGAGTAGCCCCTACTCCCTGCAAAAAAAAAAAAAAAAAGCCAGGGGACCGGGGGGAAGCAACTTCTTGAGGACTAATTCACACAGTGCCTTATTGAGCTTCTCTGTAGTACTTCACTGAACTTGTTGAGTGGCTTAATAAATTCTTGTCTAGTAAATAGCTCATTTATTTTTTCCCCTCCCGATTCATACACAAGCATGAGAACATTTGAAAGAGACTAAACAGAGGCCTTACAAATAGCTGAAAAAAGAAGAGAAGCAAAAAGCAAAGGAGAAAGGGAAAGATGTACCTAACTGAATACAGTGTCCCAAACAATAGTGAGGAGAGATAAGAAAACCTTTGTAAGTGAACAAAGAAATAGAGGAAGACAATAGAATGGGAAAGACTAGAGATCTCTTCAAGAAAATTAGAGATTCCAAGGGAACACTTCATGGAAAGATGGGCACAGTAAAGGACAGAAAGGGTAAGGACGTAGCAGAGGCACCTAATTAAAAAGAAGTGGCAAGAATACATAGAACTGTATAAAAAAGGTGTTAATGACTCAGATAACCACAGTGATGTGGTTACTAACCTAGAGCCAGACATCCTGGAGCATGAAGTCAGGTAGGCCTTAGGGACACATTACTAGAGACAAAGCTAGTGGAGGTGATGGAATTCCAGCTGAGCTCTTTAAAAGATGATGCTGTTAAAGTGTTGCACTCAATATGCCAGCAAATTTGGAAAACTCAGCAGTGGCCACAGGACTGAAAAAGGTCAATTTTCATTCCAGTCCCAAAGAATGGCAATGTGAAAGAATGTTCAAACTACTGCTCAGTTACTACTCACATGTTAGCAAAGTAGTACTCAAAGTCCTTCAGGCTAAGCTTCAGCAGTTTGTGAACCAAGAACTTCCAGATGTACAAGCTGAATTGAAAAGGCAAAGGAGCCAGAGATCAAATTGCCGACGTCCATTGGGTCATAGAAAAAAGCAAGAGAATTCTGGAAAAATACCTACTTCTGCTTTATTGACTAGGTTAAAGCCTTTGACTGTGTGGATCGAAAGAAACTGTGGAAAATTCTTAAAGAGATGGAAATACCAGGCTACCTTACCTGCCTTTCAAGAAACCTGTATGCAGGTCAAGAAGCAACAGTTAAAACTGGACATGAACAACGGACTGGGTCAAAATTGGAACATGAGTACATCAAGGCTGTATATTGTCACCCTAATTTAACTTATATGCAGTGTACCTCAAGCAAAATGCCAGACTAGATGACTCACAAGCTGGAATCAAGATTGCCAGGAGAAATATCAACAACCTCGGATATGCAGATGATTCCCTGATAATGGCAGAAAGCAAAGAGGAGCTAAAAAGCCTCTTGAAGGTGAAAGAGGGGAATGAAAAACTCAACATTAAAAAAAACCAAGATCATGGCATCTGGTCCCATCACTTCATGGCAAGTGGGGAAAAAATGGAAACAGTGACAGACTTTATTTTCTTAGGCTCCAAAATCATTGCAGATGGTGACTGCAGCCATGAAATTAAAAAACACACCAGAAAGATAAAGACCAATACAGTATACTAACGCATATATATGGAATTTAGAAAGATGGTAACGATAACCCTATATGCAAAACAGAAAAAGAGACACAGATGTACAGAACAGAATTTTGGACTCTGTGGGAGAAGGCGAGAGTGAGATGTTTTGAGAGAACAGCATCGAAACATATATATTATCTAGGGTGAAACAGATCACCAGCCCAGGCTGGATGGGTGAGACAAGTGCTTGGGCCTGGTGCACTGGGAAGACCCAGAGGGATCGGGTGGAGAGGGAGGTGGGAGGGGGGATCGGAATGGGGAATACATGTAAATCCATGGCTGATTCATGTCAATGTGTGGCAGAAACCACTACAATATTGTAAAGTAATTAGCCTCCAACTAATAAAAATAAATGGAAAAAAAATAAAAAATAAAAGACACTTGCTCCTTGGAAGAAAAGCTATAACAAACCTAGACAGCAAATTAAAAAGCAGACACATCACTCTGCTGACAAAGGTTCGTCTGGTCAAAGCTACGATTTTTCCAGTAGTCGTGTATGGATGTGAAAGTTGGACCATAAAGAAGTCTGAGTGGCGAAGAATTGATGTTTTCGAACTGTGGTGCTACAGAAGACTCTGGAGAGTTCCTTGGACAGCAAGGAGGTCAAACCAGTCAATTCTAAAGGAAATCAACCCTGAATATTCATTGAAAGAACTGATGCTGAAGCTCCGATACTTTGACCACCTAATGTGAAGAGCCCACTCATTGGAAAAGACCCTGATGCTGGGAAAGATGCAGGAGGAGAAGGAGATGACAGAGAATGAGATGGTTGGATGGTATCATCTACTCAATGAACATGAGTTTGAACTCTGGAAGATGGTGAAGGACAGGGAAGCCTGTCCATGGGGTTGCAGAGTTGGACACGACTTAGCGACTGAACAACAAAAATGGTCATTAAGTAGCAGGCTGTGTCTTGAAACTTGTTTCTACTCTCTTCACTTTCTGACATCCATTGCAAACTTAAGGATTTTACTAGTCCCAGACTTTTCCTGCTCTTGGTTTTCAGTGTCCCTAGGCCAAAAGAAATACCTAATAGTTTCCCTAAGTGGTTTAGTCCAAACAATTTAAGTGTGTCTTAACAACTTTATTTTAAAAAATAATACACAGATTGAAAGAGATAGGGTTTAGTTCTTAGTTACCACAAATGCATAGTAGTGGAATGTGTACATCTGTTGAGTACTGGACTTCTCAAGCCTTGAGATTAGATTTGACACCAACTGCGTTTCTTGTTTTACATTGATTTTCTGTGGTACCACCAAAGTCTTAGCTTCACAGGGTTCTGTTGTCATTTAAAGAAAAATATAGTGCAAGCTACTCAGTTAAAACTGTGCTCTACTTGATGGTGTATCTGTGATATCTTCTAGGTGTCAGGTATCACTAGGTTTTCATTAAACTTTAAAATACCCTGCTGTGCCCATATGAATTTGTTATAGTGTCCAGCACACATTTTGGGACCCAAGGCTGTAGAGTAAGGGTCAGGATAGAAATGGAACTGACTTCATTTACTGTGATGACTTATGTCAGCTTTAATGTCAGTGGTGACTTTTATGGATTAGATTGTGGAAGTATTTGGGGATTATAATTAGTACTTCATTAGCATATTTAGAAATTCATATGCAATATGTATCAGTATTGCTTTCAGTATTCTCTAATGAGTTTTTAAAAATTCTTAGTTGATCACTGAAACTAAATGCCAACTTCTGATTTAAATTGCTTTTAAAGTCTCAACATTGTGTTTACAAGTAATATCAAATTTTTACCATTCCAGTGTCAGTTCATGAAGTTTGATCGTCATTTAAGTAATCAAAAATGGAAAATTCTGCAAAAGCAGAAGAACATGAAAAAATCCTTCTTAAAGAAGTAAAAACATCATTAGATTCAGAAACAGAGTCATCATTCATTATTAATGAAAATACAACCTCTCCTGGGACTGATCTTTCTGCAAAGGCTCCTACTTGTGGGCAAGTAAACACACCAAAAAAGAGAAAAATGGAGTTTGAGGATGATCTTGTAAAGGAAAGTTCTAGTTGTGGGGAAGACACTCCACCCAAGAAAAGAAAACTTGATGTTGAAATTGCCCCAGAGGAAAAAGGTTCTGGTGATGATGAAGGCATTTCAAGAAGAAGAATAGAAACTGATGGTTTTCCAAAAGATGAACCTACTGGAGATGGCACTCAGAAAAGGAGAAAAATAGAACTTGAAGATGTTCCTGAAAAGCAAAAGGTATTTTGAATGCATTTTTTAAGGTTCATAATAGAATATGTCAGATTGAAATGTGGAGCAGTTATGAAATACCTTTTTTAAAAAACATAATTTTAATAACTTAAGGGTTCTGTTTTTTAAACTTAATTTTTATTTTATATTGGGGTATTGTTGATTTGCAGTATTGTGTTAGTTTCAGGTGTACAGCAGCGTGATTCAGTTATACATATATCTATTCTTTTCCCGTATAGGTTATTGCAGAATGTTGAGTAGAGTCCCCTGTATAGCAGGAAACTTGCAAGGTCCTTGTTGATTGACTATTTTGTATACAGTAGTGTGTATATGTTAATCCCAAAGTCCTAATTTACCACTTCCCCCACCTTTCCCCTACCTTTCTCCTTTGGTAATCATAAGTTTGTTTTCAAAGTCTACGAGTTTGTGTCTGTGTTGTAAATGAGTTCAGTTGTATCATTTTTTTTAGATTCCACCTTTAAGTGATATCATATGTTTGTCTTTCTCTGACTGATTTCTCTTAATAATAATCTCTAGCTCCATCCACATTACTGTAGATGGCATTATTTCAGTCTTTTTTGTGGCTGCATAATATTCCATTGTCTACATCTTCTTGACCCATTCTTGTGTCAGTAGACATTTAGGTTGCTTCCCCATCTTTACTATTGTAAAGAGTGCTGCAGTGAACATTGGGGATCATGTATCTTTTCGAATTCTGGTTTTCTTCTGATCCATGCCCAGGACTGGGATTGCTGGATCATATAGGAGCTCTATTTTTAGTTTTTTAAGGAACCTCCATACTGTTCTCCATAGTGGTGGTTCTAGTTTACACTCCCACCAACAATGTACAGGGTTCCCTTTTCGCCACACCCTCTCCAGCATTTATATTTGTAGACTTTTTGATAATGGCCATTTTGACCTGTGTGAGGTGATACCTCATTGTACTTTTGATTTTCATTTCTCTTTTATTTATATAAAACTTCTGCTAATGAGATAATTTTAATCTTATTTTGGAAATCTTGACTAAACACTAGAAAGGGAGTTTTTATAGTTTGCTTTTTTCTTGGTGTTTTTAAAAAGACCAGTGTAAGTTTCAAATGATTTACCTTTTTCCTTTTTAACTAGGTGTTTATCTCTTTTTTGTGTCTGAAGTATTTGAGATTATCACTTAAAATGATAAATTTCTAGATGATACCCAGTTTTACATTTCTTTCTTAATGTAATTCCTTAAACTGTGTTATTTCCACTTTTATTAGTGTAGTTACGTAAAGCCTGGTATTTAACAAGAGTAGTATAAAGCAAGGGATAGCAAATCATTTTCATCTGGGAATACTATTTTGTGATGGGACCTGAAATGGAGTCTGCACTACACAATGAATGAGTAAAATTCTGTTATCACTCCTCAGGAAGAAAGTGGCAGATAAGCCAGGTGTTTGTCATTGGTGGATTGCAAACCTTTGTAATAGAGAGAAGCTTGTATTGTAAACATAGTTTTCAAACTTTTACTAGCAGTGGAAACCTTTTTTCAAAGGAAAATCTTCAACCTTTTACCTATTTTACATACCAGATGAGACACTTTGGTTGAACAGAAAGTGGGGGGATTTGAGGCCCTTTACTTATCTGGCATTTTTGCAGAATGCTTAAGGTCTTAGAGAGTACAAGTTGAAATTTGAGTTAGGTTAATAGCAGATAATAGAAATCACTGACACCAAACGTAGACTGTTGCGTTCCCATCTCTCTGTGAATATTAGCTCATGTAATGCCCACAATAATTTTATAATAATATAGTAAGTATATTATTTCCATTTTATTTTCTTGTAGGAATTTCATTCACTACTGACATTTACTGAACTGAATAAATCAGAACTCTGGAAATATACTGGTTTTATTAACACATTAACACCATAATTCTATAGATGAAAATTTCTTAAGAGATGTTTTTTAAAATAGGGAGCAGGGGAAAATCTTTCATGTGATTATAATTAGTGGAATTTCTGTGATTCTACTCCAACTTAATGAAGTATACCAATCTCAGTAGTATTTTATCCATATATAGGTCAGATGCTCTTTTAGACTTATTTGTTTCATGTTCAGCTTCTTAATTTTATGCCATTCTTATATTTTCAGAACTTGGAAGAAGGACACAGCTCAGCAGTGGCTGCTCACTACAATGAACTCCAGGAAGTTGGTTTGGAGAAGCGTAGCCAAAGTAGAATTTTTTACCTAAGAAATTTTAATAATTGGATGAAAAGTGTCCTCATTGGTGTGTTTGTTTTTTGATTTACAGTTTTGAATTTTTAATTTCAGCTTATGTTTCATTTTTTTCTCCCTAAGTGGTTAATCATACACAAAGTGACAAAGTCTTTAGTTACTGTTCATTTAATCATCAGACCTTGGCTTTATAAAAATGGTTGACTATATAAGACATTAATTTTGAGTTATTTAGGTTTTCAGAAGGCAGTGTGCTTTTATATTTAGAATTAAGGTTACCTAGTGCTATTAAATAATATGTTTTACTGTAGTAGTTTTGGAGCAATCCTATATTATTGAATGAAACATTTGGGTTCCATTAAGTTAAGAAGATGGGCAGTGGCATGATTTTTTATCTCTGGGCCTTTAATGAGTTGGTAAAGGTCATCATTTGTATTGATTGTCCATTGAACTTGTTCTTTTCTTCTTGGGAGAAATAAAGTTTATTTTGAGGATTGATGAAGACATTCAGCTTTTTGGACATCATTTTTGTCTATGAAAACTCATTTTTGAATTTAAAATGGAAGTCAGTAGAGGAAATTTAATTCTGAAAATATTTATTGCTTTCTGTATCAAATATGTTAGTCAGACACTTACCTGAGATTAGAGGATTTATAAAAGCCAGTAAATGTTGAAGTTTTTCACAAAAAGTTTTTTCAGTTTTGGTTTCTGTTTCGTTTTTTCAAAAGCCAGCCTCAGAAAAAGTGAGAATGCTTTCATAGTTAAACTAAAAAGAGTAAAGTGCCGTTTATGACTACTTTCTACTCGTTTTGACAATATTTTAGTAATTTTAAAAAATAAATTATCCATCCTGAAAAGTGTTAGGAATGGGAACTAGACTCATTTCAGATACATTTTAATATTTTTCTTTCTCTCTTTTGTTTTTAATGTTTATGTTTTATTACAGAAATAAGGCTTATTTGACTGTGCTACTTGTACATCTAGGGTAAATGAATAAACTCTTTAAAGAAAGGGTTTTTTTAGGGCTACTACTATGGCGTTTTAAAATCTGTACTCATAAAGTAATCTTTGGACCCTATTCCTAATTTCTCAATTTTTTTCTTCCTTTCTTCATCATCCTTAGTAATGTAGATGGCTTATTGAGTATTTTTCCTTAGGTGTCACTTACTCATTATTTAGTCATTGAATAAATATTTTAATGTTCAGTCATATTTTTCACATCATTAGTTGTATTATTTTTATAAACAGGGAAATAGGTAGTTTTTATTATAAAAACACTATGTCAGGCAAAAATGTATCTCTCAGCATATTCCTGATGGTGGTTTCTTCTTCAGCTGTTCCAGCAGCTTTCTCAATGGGTGCTTTGCTGTCTGCACCTGTCTTTCTGGTCTTGCTGTAATTGATGTGCTCTATGCCAGATTCCTTTGCTGTCTTTTTTTTGGTCTTCTTAGCACCCATTTTTTGCCATTCATTTTCTCTTCCTTGCTGTTTATAGCTAGTGATAGTTGAATGTGATGCTTGAATGTGATAAAGGTATCTTAAATAATGTTTCATGAAGATTTCCCCTCATTAATCTTATTTTGTGGAAGTAAAGAGGTTTTATCATTCTTGCTGTTTTTTACTCTTTGCATATTACATATTATGCTTTTTTTTAAAATTCAGAGCAGAAAGGTAAATATTGAACACTTGTACATCTGTTGAAATCACTTAAAAATCCTATGGATGGTGAAAGCAGAAGTATTTATACAGAATATTCTAGCAGGCAAAATATTACATAGGAAATAAAAAGCATTAAGCTCAGAATGATAAAGATAGAGTAGATCTAGGATTCAGTATTTTATCCAGTGTTAGAATTGCTAAATATTTCATTGTCTAAGAATATTAATATGCCTTTAACTGATATTTGAACCATTTGGCTATTGATGTAGGGGACCTACTAATATCATCCATTGATTATTAATGTGATTTGGTAGATTGAGATAAAAGATTCCATTTTTACTTCAGAGTTTTAAGAATTCTGATGACAGTAAAGAGGTTTATATAGTTTTTTGACTAGTTCTTGTGTTTCTTTTGGAGGTAAGCTTGGCATCTTTTATCAAAGTCACGCTCTCATGATCCCATAATTATTTTCATCTTATTAAGTGTATAAGAAGCCAAACACTTAGCTTTGTAAAGAGAACTACAACAAATTATGAATTAATTTTTCTCTTACCGGGAATAAGTGTTGGATATTCTTGTATTAATTAGAATTTAAAATGTTTGCTATTGACCTGCCAAGATCATGCAGCTTTTCTATACTGTTTCTATACTGTTAAACTTCTGTTTAATCATATGAGAGAGACAAAATGTTTACTGTATAATGTTGAATCAAATTCTGAAAATAACCTTCAAAAACCTGTTTAGTTTCTAACATAACAGAGACAAATTCTTTCTTCTTTAATGCTGAAGAAGAGTCAAGTTAATTCTTAGTCAAATTTGAAATATTTCCCAAAGGTTATGAATTAATTACATAAATGAATGTGTTTATATTACACGTCATGCAGAAGTTAGTAGATTATTAAGGGTAACAGTTTATGCTTTAGTGAAAATGTAGAAGAGCATTTATTATAACTTATTTCTCTCTTTTAGGGGAATTTTTAGAAAAGGTGAGACAGAAAAAGAAACGTGACATCACTGTTTTGGACCTAGGATGTGGTAAAGGTGGAGATTTGCTCAAGTGGAAAAAAGGAAGAATTGACAAGCTAGTTTGTACTGGTAAGAGAGAGAATGACATGGGAAAGAATGCTTTGTGGTCATCCAGGTAAATGGAAATGAGAAAGGTCTATTATGGGCATAACACTGAAATAACCGTGCCATGAGATGTCTGGGGGCTGTGCATGAGACGGGTGTTTTTTAAACGAGGAATGCGAATTCACTGATGGTGTTAAGACCACAGATGATTGAAGTCATGTTGGACTCCATGTTTGAAGCACAAACTTGGAAAGGCTTTCACTGGTCACAGGACAGTTTCTTAAATTAAAAAAACAGTAATTATAGTGGATTGAAACACATGAAACAAAGGGGGAAAATCTCATTGTTCAGACTTGGAGGGAGCAAGGAAACTTACTCAGTTATTCTGAAATGTATAAACAAAGGCAGAGGGTATTTATCTTTTCTAACCCTATATGAACCATGCATAACCAAATGGTTGAAAAGACCAATTCCTGTTTATTGAAAAATCATGATGAATAAATCTTTCCACCCTTGATGAAATAATGGCTCTAAGCCGTAGTCATTAATAGCTGAAGCTATTAGGAGAAAAGTTGAAAGGAACTTAACTGGATTAATCAAGCATCTGAACCTCCCAGTCAGTCTTAACCCAGAAGAGGGGCAGGCAGATGACATGTTCCTTCTCGTCTGGAGTCATGGGCACGCATGGCACTGCCTGTGGAGTTATGTTGCCTAAATCGGCACTTCTCACAGTTTCTGGTTTATGATCTCAGTACGCTCTTAAAAATGATTAAGGACCCCAGAAAGCTTTTGTGTGTGTAGTTAAATCTATTGATTATGGAAATTAAAACCAACAATTTTAAAAATAGCTTTAATTTATTACAAATAAAATTTAGAAGACTAGCATTTTAAAAATATTTTTGCAATTTCTTTTAAAGTCTGTAATAATAAAAGACAGCTGAATTTGCACCCCTGTTTTTGCATCAGTATGTTGTAATGTGTTATTTGATGAGCAGTGAAATGGAATTATTTGATGGGAAACTCCATTAAATCTGTCTTGCACTTTGCTCTGCGAGGTTTTGTTCACTAAAATTATGCAAATCTTCTACAAGTTGGCATCAAGAAATCACATTGGTTTAATATCACCATCAATCAGAAAAGTTTTTAATATTGGGACAATACCCAGCCCATTGTGATATAAACAGTTTTTTCAGAGCTATAGTTTTCAGTTGAACGCTCAGGTTTATCATTGGTAACAAATACCATCTGTGGTTTTCACTTTTTTCATTTTGAAGAAAAGGTCTGCCAGATTACCAGGTCTGAATAACCAGTTTGTCTCTCTGTGGTTCTTCAAGTGAAAACAATTTTTGTATGAAAAAATTGGCCAGTACAGCTCGCAAACAGTCACACCAGTCCTGTTCAGATAGATTTCGTTATGTAGCAGAAATGTTTTGAAGATTTTATAAGATTAATTTTTACTGCTTTATCACGAACATTCCTAAATGAAATTGGCTTCCCCCTTTCCCCTTTTTTTCTTTCTGAGCTGCTTTATAGCAGTGAAAAATATATCAAGAATTACCAATATCATTGGTGCTCCTACCTTATATTCATGACACGGTATCAACTGCTATTTCTTTGTGTTAGTCACTCAGTCATGTCCGACTCTGCAGCTCCATGGATTGCACCCCACCAGGCCCCTCTGTCCATGGAATTCTCCAGACAAGAATATGGGAGTGGGTAACTATTCTCTTCTCTAGGGGATCTTCCTGACCCAGGGTTTGAATCTGGGTCTCCTGCATTGTAGCCAGATTCTTTACCACTGAACCACCAGGCAAGTCCTTAGACTGCAAGGAGATCAAACCAGTGAATTCTAAAGGAAGTCAACCCTGAATATTCATTGGAAGGGCTGATGCTGAAGCTGAAGCTCCAACACTTATCAGGAAAGAGCTGACTCATTGGAAAAGACTCTGATGCTGGGAAAGATTGAGGGCAGGAGGGGAAGGGGGCGACAGAGGATGAGATGGTTGGATAGCATCACTGACTCAATGGATATGAATTTGAGCAAACTCCAGGAGATGGTGAAGGACAGGGAAGCCTGGTGTGTTGCAGTCCATGGGGTTGCAAACAGACAGGACTGAGCGACTGAATAGCAGCATCCACTGGTGCTTCTGTACCTGCAGTGCAAGTCTCAACACGGAAAAAACAAATAACATTGTATTAGGAAAATATAAAGAGCTGAATGTACAGAGTTAGGTTTTATAATTCAAATTGGAATCTAAACTGTCTGCTTTAAACTTTGAATAAGCATTTAAAAATCATGATAGAACTTCTCTGTTGTCAGTACTTATTGAGAAAGTGTTTAATTCGTTCTGAAAAATATCGGTCATTTGCATTGGTACAGAAGACTTCCTTCTCCCTTGTTTTGAAGGAAATAGAACCTTTTTGCTTTTCTAAGGCTAGATTTCTTGCCAGAGTTTAACAGTTGAGATGAAATCTAGATTGTGCCAGTTTTGTGTTTCTTATGTAACTCTGTGGGCCTCTGCTGACGTCACTGATGCCCCTTCCCCTTCCAGATATCGCTGATGTTTCTGTCAGACAGTGTCAGCAGCGGTATGAGGACATGAAAAATCGTTGTCGTGATAATGAGTATATTTTCAGTGCAGAATTTATAACTGCTGATTGTTCAAAGGTATGTGTTTTTTTAGAAGTATGTCTTTTTATATTTTTAGTTTTAATAAGTGATTTGTTTTAAAAATCAGCTCATTTTTTAAAAATGTGCTTTGAAACATTAAAATTCTTAGGACATGCATTTTTTATTTCAGCTAGAAATTCCATTAATGATACATTTCCTTAAATGACCCACCGAATACTTCTGATAATTTTTAGCTTTTAATACTTTTACTTTGGAAATTGTTGGTTGCTTTTCTGTTTGGACACTGTTTTCTCGTATTTTGAAATAGATCTGTGTTTAGGTTTTGTTTACCCTGTAATTTGTTTGGCCAGCTTCTCAACATGTTACAGTCCGGTGACACCTATTTCTGGATCTCTTTGACAGCTGAAGTTCAAGACTACAGAGGCACTTGAAATGCTGAAAATCTCCCCCTTGAACTTTATCTCTCTATTCTGACTTGTTAGCTCTTTAAATTATTATAGATACCTTTAACTACACATTTTGTTGGCAGTTGTGAAGGTGGAAAGAGGTAATAGTATACTGCTAGAAAGTTAGAAACCTTTAAAAAACATTTTGCATTTTTCAAAATTTCCCAGGGAGTTCTCTGACAGTCCGGTGATTAGGATTTGGCACTTTCACTGCTGTAGCCCAGGTTCAATCCCTGATTGGGGAATTAAGAGCCTGTCAGCTGCATGGCAAAACCTAAAAAATAAAAAAATGTCTCAAAGGCCGGCTTTGTGTTTTTCATAAACCCAAGTATACAGGTCAACATCATTTTACTTTAGTTTCCCAGTAAAGCCAATTAAAGAATCAATTCCTTTAAATGTCATGTTTGATGTATTTTTAGTATGATTCCAGAATCTCTAGTTTTTGAAGTTACTCTGAAAGTGGGAATCAAATTCTCTTGAACCAGAAAGAACATTTTTATTATGGTCCTTAAGATACATAATGATAGAGGACAGGTTGGTTGGAGGGCATGTCAACTTTTATTTTAGGGATCCTAATATTAGAAATTCACTAATTATGTTGCAGCCAACTTCAAAATCTTGACCCATTATAATTTGTCTCAGGAACTCCTGACTGATAAGTTTCGTGACCGAGAAATGTGCTTTGACATCTGCAGTTGTCAGTTTGTCTGTCATTACTCATTCGAGTCCTATGAGCAGGCTGATGTCATGCTCAGAAATGCGTGTGAGAGACTGAGCCCTGGAGGCTATTTTATTGGTACCACTCCCAATAGCTTTGAATTGATGTAAGTACTTTCATATATTGTGGTTTATAAAATATTCAAAATTAAGCTTATTTTAGAGCAGCAGATGTTTATCAGAAATAGAGTTTATAGAAGGGCTGAGCACTTTGATGATGTATTTGTGTAGATAATCTGGTTTTAAGTTAAAAAGTCAAACTTACAGATGAACCTTTAAAACATCTTTGTCTATTAGTTGGGGAGTGATGTTGCATTGAGCCAAAAAGCCAGAGGTGGTATTGCTAGATAAACTCCAGATCAGATGAGACTTAACCAGCTGTCATGATAATGAAGCCTACTTCTAGCATAATTTCGTTAGTGATATTGTTAATGATATTTTAGCATATTGCTTCTTAAAAGTAGCTCAGACCCACTTCACAGCTATAAATTGCATCATGTGTGTTCCTCCCCATATTTAATCTGATCAAAATAAATTTGACCTAATAATAGATTTGATTTTTTTTTTGGGGGGGGGGGTAACTTACAGAAGACGCCTTGAAGCTTCAGAAACAGAATCATTTGGAAATGAAATATATACTGTGAAATTTCAGAAGAAAGGAGATTATCCTTTATTTGGCTGCAAATATGACTTCAACTTGGAAGGTGTTGTGGATGTCCCTGAATTCTTGGTCTATTTTCCATTGCTAAATGAGTAAGAATGTCATTAATCTGTTACTTTTCTCATTTGGGGGCTTCCCAGGTGGGTCTAGTGGTAAAGAACTCACCTGCCAGTGCAGTAGATGTTAAAGTTGAGGGTTTGATCTCTGGGTCAGGAAGATCCCCTGGAAGAGAGCATGGTAAGCTACTCCAGTATTCTTGCCTGGAGAATCCCGTGGACAGAGGAGCCTGGCAGACTACAGTCCATGGGGTCACAAAGAGTCAGACACGACTGAAGTGACTTAGCACATAGCACATTCTCTTTTTGCGTAAGAATGAAGGTAAAGGGGGAAAAATCAGTATTTCTATTTGTCTCTTATTTTAAGTGGGATCTTAAGAAGTATAGCCTGAATAATGACAAAACTAAGACTCAACAGTTGGTGCCATAGGTCACTTACAGCCTTATTCATTTAGTTTCTTTTATTCCTGAAACTATTTTATCCTGTAGGCAAGAAAAGGGGCCTGTTGCCTACAACTTGTGGCATGAAATAACTGACAACTCGAAATAGCAAAGATTTGTTTTTAAGTAACTATTGGTACTTGGGTAACTAAAATTAGTCGTCTCAAAGTAGGGATCCTCCTTTTGACACGAATAGGTATATTAAAAATTGTTTTATATTTCACTGTAGCTTATGAAACTGACTCATGGCAGTGGTGATAGTAAAATCCTGATTCAGGAATGTATTCATGAACCTGAATTCCTGGGAGTCCTGGCAAACCATAGGCCCAGGGAAAGCTGAGGTTTCAGGCTATACAGGTAGGGCACCAAGGCCTAATGAGACAGCTTGGTCTTGGGGGTTTCCCGGAGAGGAAGTATGGAAGAGTCAAGTTATATGTGGGCCATGTCACAGCTGACCAAAGTGTATTTCCTTCTTTTTATTTTTTCTTCTTTTTCAAACAAAGCCTTCATTAACTGAGGAAAAGGATGAGCTTTATTCTTTTGCTTATTTTTAGATAGTGATTATTTATTTGAATTGTGTTTCAGTCAGCTTGTAAAATTACGGGTGTACGAGTTTCAGGAGTTCTACAGTGTATAAAACTTTTAAAGAAAGTGAAAATGAAGAAAATGAAAGAAAATAAGAAAATGAAGTAGCATGTGATTAAACATGGAAAATACTATGCACAATTTATAAATATGAAAGTTTAATTTATATCACATTTTCCTTATAATTAGCAAACTTTGGGGAAATGTTATGCTTGAAGAAATTAAAACGTTTTTAGTATGTTATATGTTTGGTATGTTAGCTTGGTGCTTTTGGTTGACAGTTGGTGATTTGAGTATACCCCAAAAGATAAAGAATGAAACAAAAGTGTTTTTTTTTTTCAAATGGCTAAGCAAACATTAGCAATCTTTTCTGTTTGTAATTGTTAATGATGATAAACATATCAAGTAGTAAATTGTCACTTTAATTTTCAAATTTTTATAAATTATTTATTGAGATAGGTATTCGTTCAGAGAGATGATCTGCAAATGCATAGGGATCCAAACTGCCTTTTCTGTCTTGTTAATTAGCTTTCATATGCAGACCTATTCAAATCGGTCAGATTGAGTCTCTGTTCTTTGTAATTATATTTGTAGATGTAAAGCTCAGTTTCCCTTGTAAAGGTTTATTTTGGATATTTTTTGATAGAAAATGAATGCCTGGAATAGAAGAGGCTTTATATTGACTTGTGTTGTCTTCTCAAGGGGTCTGATGCAAGTGGCAGGGACTCCTGCTGTACACGCGGCTCTTACGTGCAAAGCTGAATGGCCCTCTGATGTTCCCTTCACTCTGTCCCCTCGTCCGTCACCTCAGGGGTCCTCTTTCAGGGTTTTTCCTGTTTCTCCTCTCATCTTTTATCTGCTGCTTGAAATCATCCTCAGGTTCCCTTTTGTTGTCTACAGATGTGCAGTAATCTGCTTTGGCAATTGAGGTGGGAAAGATAGACCTAATTAGACTTGAGGAAGCCACTGGGAGAAAGTAACATCTAAGGGAGAAAATGATATCTAAGTCAACATCTAAAGGGTGTCTAGTTGGCCAGTTTTGCCCTAAGTGTGCTGGGGAGCCAACGAGGGTTTTAAAAGGACATGACCTGTGCGCTTATGAAGCATCATCTGACTGCAGTTGGAAAATTGGTTGAGGGAGAGTAAGAATAAAAGCAGGGAAACAAGCAAACGAACTGGTACCACATTGAATGGTGGTGGTGAAAGAGCAGGCTGGTGGCCAGTGTTGGGATTGGAAGCGGGCCTGTTCCAAGTACATTTTGCAGGTTAATGGAGAGGATGCAGTGGCATGCTGAATGCTGGGCACAGGGTGGGGTGGCAAGGAGCATTAGATGGTTTACTGAAATAGCAAAGACTGGCAGGAGAACAGGCTGGTGGGATTCAGCCCTGCACGCCTGGGATCATCCTGGTGGAGATTTCTAGAGAACATGGAGTGAATGTGACAAAAGCCAGGACTTAGCTGCCACCGCTGCTGGCAAGCTGTGTACATCAGGGAGTGACATTGAGCAAGGATCTGGGCCACTTTCTTCAGAACCATGACATCTAGAATTTGGGAAAAGAGACCTGTAGAAAACTTACTGTGGAGACGCAGTTCAAGATGTAGGATAAAAATTAATAGTTTGTCTTGCCAGGAAATCCAGTAGATGAAAGGGAATATTTTCATTTCACTTCCTGGCTTGTTTGTTAGGTTACTGGAGTTCCCTGTGACCCAGGGAGATCTAACTGCATGTTTCTTTCAGGTCACTAGGGTGTTGCCCTTCACTTATTTTGCATGGTCCTCTTGTGAATTTGTAAGGTTATTAGTTAAGCCCAGAAAGATGTTACTGTTGCGTAAAGAATTACAAATATTTTGGAAGCCTTTTCATGAAAGAATCTTTTTTGGACAGAATGGCGAAGAAGTACAATATGAAATTAGTCTACAAAAAAACATTTCTGGAATTCTATGAGGAAAAGATTAAGAACAATGAAAATAAAATGCTGTTAAAACGAATGCAGGCCCTGGAGGTGAGTATTTAGAAATTGTATAAAAATCCCAGGTTATCGCAGACTTGTTTGGTTCTTTCTGAGATTCCTTTCAAGGCCGTGGACATTCTCAGTATTTATATAAACTGCCCAGATAACTGGTGCCAATCCAGAGCTTTAACATGGGCTGTCAGGACTGTCGGCATTTGGGGCTGCTCTGTATCTGAAGCATGAATTTTTACACTACAGGAATAAGCAAATTTATTTCTCATTGGCAAAAATGTGTTGATTGTAATGGTTCCAAAATGGTTTTTTGATTAATAAAGATGTGTTTGAGCCTAGTTATAATGATTTAAAATTCACGGTCTGAAACTGCAATTACATTTGCACCAACCTAATACTTAAAATGGATTAAAAATAATGCTTGAAGTAATTTGAATATCAGACATTTGGTCACCATATCTTTAAAAACACAGCATTTTTTTGAGACCCTTCTTCATATTCTGTGTAATTGTGGAGACGATCTATATTGGAGGCTAGTGTTTTCCTTCTCTTCTGAAACTCCCAAGGTTCTGTTGACTGAACATTTTATTTGTATTATTTCCAGTTGCTGTTCGTACTTCCATGGCGGTTAAGTCACCATAACATTCAAATGAATGTTTAACTCTTCTTTTGATAACTTCCTTCAGAGTTGAGTTGTGGCAGGAAAAACCTTTGCCCGGGAGTCACGGAGATACAGGTGTTTGCTGCCAGGTGGTCTTGGTGGCGATTCAGGACACGTTCAGTCCCTCTGTGACACTCTATAATTATAGGTACTCCGGCCATGCTCATTGTTGACCACAGCAGCTGCTTTGTTCAGAGAGGATTCCCTCCACTCCTTTTTTTTATATTTCAAAAGTATATGTAGTTTCTATTTCTGAAGTAATACTTAAAGATTATTATCTCATTTCAGTGATTTAGGGTGTTTCATTCTGAATTGTAAATTTCAGTGTAACGACTTAACTAGGAATTTCCCTTGATTCCTTAGCCATATCCTGCAAACGAGAATTCCAGACTTGCCTCTGAGAAGGTGGGTGACTATGAACATGCCGTGAAGTACATGAAGAACGGTCAAGTGAAGCTACCTTTGGTAAGGTTTCATTCTTTGACAAGTCCTATAGAAAAATGGAAACTTAAATTATTTCACTGGTTTACAATACTGGTTCACTGACTTATAAATAGATACACTTTAGCCTGTTTCTCCTAAGTTATGACTTTATAATTGTAGAATACAGAATAAAATGTACTTTAATGCTGAGAAATGTGGTGCAGTATTTGAGAGAGTAAGGATGGGAGGAATGTTCTTGGCTTGGCTTAAGAGTTTTCTTGCTGTATCATTGTGTCTTAGCCTGGACACTTCTGACTAGCAGTGTTCCATAGATATAATTCAGGAGCTTGAACTTAGATGGGGAAAAATTACATCTTCACAGACTTCTATGTGGAAGTTTCCTTAATTATGAATGCTCCACAACCATAGTGGTATTACTAGTTGTAGCTGTGACTTTGTTATCAATAGAAATTATAGATATTTGTGTAACACATTTTTGCTGACATTTTATAGTATTGATGTTTATTTATCACTTCTTCAACATTTATCACTTCTTCATTCCTTAGTTATTAGACTTGTCACTGTATCTTGTTACTCAGTGTCTTTGCAAAATAGCAAGTATGTTACTAAATGCAGTTTATTTCCTTTGTATGATAGATATTTTGTGATTTCCTTTGTAAAAACACAAAAGTCGTATTCCCTCCTGCAGTATTATTTGATGTTTCAAGATAGACCTTTTATCTCCCAAGTTAAAAATGTAAGCTCAGTACTTTTTCCAGTTACAAATGAATACCCTGTTTATGCGGATTCACCCTTTGATTGAGAATCAGTGGTTTAGAGAATTGGCAGGAGCACAAAAGTGATGAGAAGATGGCATTAAGAGTTAATCTCATTGATTTATTTTATATTCAGATCACAGAAATATTAACAGTAAATTGTATGTATATTTATAATGAAGTTAGGGTTTTGGGGCACCTCTGACCATTATTGAAAAATAAGTAGACGTGTACTTCTATATTCAATCTGAAATTTTCTTCCTTATTTTTTTAAATTTTAGGGGACCTTAAGTAAATCAGAATGGGAAGCTACAAGTGAGTATATCGTCAGTGTAGATTTACTGACATTTGCAAAGATTGCTTCAAAGTGATTGTTAAAATTGGAAGACTTTAGAAATTTTTCTGACACAGATTGTGAGGGGATGATTGTGTTCACACAAAATTCCTATAAATGTCTAGTTCCCCTTGTCTTGCAAGGCTGTTCAGTGCCAAAAGAAAGCATATGCAGGGTGTTCCTTAACGTAAACTTTGAGCGTTCTTAAATATTTCCATTGTCTGCTCGTTACTGCAAAGCCATCTGTATTTTACATCTTTACCTCCCATTTCTGTTGGGAATTTTGGCTTATGGACTACTTCCTTGTGTTTCACTTGGTTGTGGCCCCTGATGTTGACAGTGAAGGCTTAGTAAATGCTAAGATGTTCAGTTAAACAGCACTGAGCAGGATGTCTCGGAGGATGTGCGGTTGGGAACAGCCATGATGTGGAGGCATTCTGGAGTGAGGCACTCGTCTCTGGATGAGCAGTTAGAGCCCGGCCAGTTCTCAAGGTCCCAGAGCCTCCCTGCCGGAGTGATGGTGGTGCCGCATATGGTCACCCTGAGGACTTACAAGGTAGTTCCCATTCTTCGCTTATATATTTGTTGATTATATTGAAGAAAAAATCAGAGGTAATCAGAGATGAACACTTTGAATATTGAGTTGCATAAAGATCTATGAAAGGGCTTTGGGGGATACAAAAAAAATTACTACCTCTCTGACTTGCAGTGGAAGAAACAAAAATAACTGACTTCTAGGCAAATTGTTCCACACGCTTAAGTTCCTATAATGAGGAAAACAGATGAAGGAGTGCTCAGTGAAAACTAGAGAAATTGGAAAATAATAACAGATGGTGTTATGGAATGTTTAGCTTGGGCCTGGTCGCTGTTGGATGCTTTCATGTGTTAGGCCTCATTCCATCCTCACAGCTTCATGAGTAGACTACTGTTAATCATGTCTTCTTTTCACAGATAATCAATCAGGCAGATAGCTTGGCTAAGGTCAGAGAGCTAATCCAGGCGCTTCACACTCGCAGCCTTCGCCTCACAGAAGCCCACGTGAAAGGAAGAGTGTTGAGACTTGCTGAATGGAAAGAGAGGACAAGGGAAGACAAGGGCTAACACTTTGAGCTTGTTTGTTTCAGAATATTGTTTCCTTTAGTAGAAATGGGATTGGAAGACATTAGAGACATCAGCTCTGATGAATGTGGGAATGTGTGCAGAAACTGACACATTTCTTTGGCTTCCCTGGAGTACAGATAACGCAGCTGCCTTAGCTGTCCTGTCACTGCCAGAGGGCGGTACAGCAGGATAGCCTTGGGAAAGGTTGTGGTGGTGGTGCTGGCTGCAGATCAGGACTGTTTTTTTTTATACTAAATGTGGACTTTAGTGATACTGTGCATATGAATTAGATGCCTCCAGACAGTTGAAGAAGAGGGGGGTTAGAGATGAGAAGAGCATTAAGAAAGGAGCAGTGGCCACAGGGCAGCCAGGATCAGCGTGTCAGGGCCGTCCGCTCTGTAACGAGTTACACTCTTAAAGCCTAGAGGGCTTTGGGTTGGCCACAGTCTGAGAAGCTGTATTTTAAACTACTGATCTAATCATTGAGCTCGTGTTTCCAGAGCTTGCTGTTCCTCTAGAACATGCTTTAAATGTGTTGCTGACAAATCAGAAGTGGTTCAGGTTTTGTTTGTTTAAATCCCAATTGAAATGCTGGCACAGAAGGCATTTTATAATATAATTAGTGAGACTTCCAGAATTTTTGAGTTAGAAAAGAGAAAGTTACTCATTGCTCATCTGAAATCGGGCATTAGTTTTCAGTGACCCTACGTCAGAGCAGCTCAGGACTGCCAGATTACCTGCAGTAGGTGCAGAAGTGTTTGGGGTGGATTTGGCAGGGTTGGTTGTAGAGAGAACACTTGGAGTGCAGGGCAAGCTCTGATGCTGAACTGTCCTGAGCCTAAGGACTTGCTCATGAGAGCTTTAGGTTGCTCTGCTATCTGACCCTTTAGAGGAATTTACAGTGTTAATGATCACTCTGCCTGTTTTCTGCCCGTCTGTCTGCTTTGCTGCCAGCCATCTTTCATTTCTCCTAAAAGGCTCAGGAGGTAGTAGATGAGGAGTAAAGAGCAGCATGATCAGAGAGGTGTTATGGGAGACTGCGTTGGTGCCTTTGTGCAGACTGGATTGGGGGGCAGAGAGCTCGAGGATTGGGAGGCCCTTACTTGGTCTGCCATCCTTCATCCGTCCCCTCTTCCACAGTTGACCCAAGGGGCACGGCTTCCTTGTCACATGGCTTCTTATCTTGACTTGCTGGTTGAATGTCCTAGTGAACATCCTGAACATTCTTGTGATATCGAGACTTTGTCATCTCTGTCGTTTTCGTAACTGTAACGTTTGTCAGTCTCTTAGAAGAAGATACGTTTGAACCTCAGTGATTCAGGATGAGGAGCTGCAGGTGCATTTGGATGTCTGAGTGAACACATGTGGAGCAGGAGGCCTGGTTTCAGGGAGCATGCTCTTGAGGCTGGGTGTGTCTCTTCAGGGGTTGTGAGTCATCAGGTAGCCTTGGCCCACTTTTCTTACCATGCCCTTAGCACTGCAGCTGGGTAATTGGATGAACTTCAACATGCACATTATATTCCTTTACAGTTTTTTTTAGGGTTCACCTACCCCCAAGTAGCAAGCTTAAGAGTACCCCTGCACTCTCAGTAGTGTAGTCATTCCAGGTAAAAATAATTAAATCATAAAGTTTCCAGTTTTCATTTTATACTTTTTTCTCCTCAAACTGTCAGTAGGGATTTTAGAGCTGCTAAGTTGGATTGCTCCATGGCTTTGATGTCAGAGTATTACAGTAGGTGGATATTTGTTTTCACATAAATAGATATGATCTTGTATCTACTTAACTATGACTCACAATTATTGAAGAACTCTTAGAAATAAATAATGGAACTTTTCTTTCAAAAGCTGCTTGAGAATTTTCACCAAATTATGAATGAGACCAAGACTGTTGCCCTGAGGATATGAGAAACCAACCTCTAATTTTATTTGTTTTCTTTTTAGGTATTTACTTGGTTTTTGCATTTGAGAAGCAGCAGTGAGCACATCACACGTGCAGTGGCACCAAAACAACTGTGTTCTGTCTTATACAGATTTGAACGGTCTACCTTCCATAGATCTGACACCCTTGTTAAATGTAACTATTCTCAGTGGGCAGGATGCTGCTGGAAACGTCAGTGTATAAATGGAACTTTTGCTGTCTGTGACAGATGAACTTTGTGTGTGTATATAAGAATGAGATGGGACCTTTGTCTTTAAAAATCTATTTTTAAGTAACGTTCTAAGAATTCCATTTGCTTCCACTCTCGTAGCTCATAAAAATTATAAAATGACGTGTTAAAGCCTGAGTTCTTTCACCAGTGCTCTGCTTTGTCCCGTGTTTATTTACAGTATTAAACTTTTGCAGTTGTAGAATTGGTGGGAGTGTACTAATTCGCAGGGATACGTGCTCATTTCCGAAGTTTGGTTAGTGTTTTTCAGGGTTAAAATAATTGCTCTCTGTACAACTGAATGTCAGTGTTCAATAAGTTTAAAATTTACATGGTGATAAAAGTTAATTAACTTAGGATTATAGCCAATTATTAAATTTCATTTTAAATAGCAACTAGTTCATTTGCTAACATGATTGAGTTCTAGAACTGAACAGAACATTTCAGATTCCAGCATAAAATTGTTTTGCATTTGGGGGGCTTTCTCATAGGAGTTCCCAATGATAGCAGTTAATGTTTCTAGTTATCAAGGATGTAATTCATTTCTTTACTGAACCAAAATGCCGTGGGTATTTTTCTCAAGATTTAGTGGATGTCTCCCATGTGAACCTGTTTGCACATTTTTCTCAGATTTATATAAGGAACCGGGTTGGGGGGGCGGATGGTGGGGCAGGGGCAAGGATCCCGCAGGCATGGAGGTATGGGGGTGGGCCAGTGGGCAGTGTGTGGCTGTGAAGGGAGCTGACAGAGAGGCTTGAGGGATCCTCCTGATGGAGGTCTGGGCTGTGGTGCTGCATGCTGTCGATCTGTTCCCCTCTGTCCCAGAAAGAACCAGTACGTGTTCCTCCATCACAGTGTTGTGCTTGGCGCAGTAGGATCTGGTGTCTCATCCCCACTTGGAGTTTTCATTTGCCATTTCAGAACCCTTAAGAGTTGTCAGCCTTGGCTTCTCGCATGACTCTTCTGAAGCTGACACCAAAGTGAACTGTTGTCCTTGATTTATCACCATTTACAAAACTAACCAGTTTTGATATATAGAAAAAAATTTAAAGAGCAAAGCAGAGAATTTATACATACTCTTTTAAAAATAATTTCTTTCATGCATGGTTTTAAAAGACATTTCTTTCTGTAATTATCCAGAGTACTTGTTAAGAAACTGTTGTCTCTTAGTTTGTTTACATGTGTTGATTGTTCATTATGTTAGAATAGCAGACATTTCAGCTATTAGGTAACACAGATTACCTAATTTCTGTTCCTTCCACAATCTGTGCATCTCCAGCTGTTACCAGTTTATAAAAATGTGATCCACCATAAGTTGTTAGAGGAAATAAATAATAGCACTTCTGACTGGTGGCTGCCATTCGCCAGCTGAGGTTTGGTGACAGTGCTGGGAGGTGGGCTTGTGAGCTCTTAGTATTACATCAGTTCTGGGGGAAAGTGCTAGGAAGTACTGTGATAGTTTGGTATAGAATGCAAAGCTTCTCTGTTATCACTGTTCTCATGTAGTGATCTTAGTGTATTCCAAGCAAGTAATAAGACATATGTTTAGCCTCCTCCTGCTCTTTCCAGTCCATGGAAAATTTGGGTGGAATAATTTGTGGTGGCAAAGCCAAGTGGAAAAGGAGGATAAAAAGGAACAGAGAGAGCTGGGTGGGCTCCGGGTTCTGAACGAGCTGGTGTGTGCTTGGAGGTGCTCAGAGCCTCCCCGGAAGGTGTGGCGTCCTGTACGTTGCACTTTGCACATTTATGACGTTGTTGCCTTCCCTGCTCTCCTCCCTGACGTCTCCTGCTGCAGCTAGCGGTGGGCAGTGACTCAAGAAGAACTCCCATCACCAGTGTAAAAGCTGATGGGACTTCCCACACACATCTGCAGTCTAAATATTTGATGATTTTCTATCCAAGACCTGGGGAAACTGTTAAGGAGAGTGGGCTTTTCATTATCAGGCCAGTGATGTCAGGCCCTCATTGGAGTGACTGAAGGGCACTTTCAGACCTGTCCGCTGAGAATGGAAGTAGAAATGAGGATCAGATACAGCCTCTGTGGAAAGAAGTTGGGAGGAATGGACTGGGAACCTGGCTGTGTGTAACTAAGAGCAATCAAATGGAATTCTTTGGGCCTGGAATCTTAGTAAAGCAAGGGCACTGCATGGCCGGTGTTCAGGAGGAGAAACTGGCCATTTCCCACTGCACCGAAAGGAAAGTGTCCTGACCTGCTGGCTGAAGCAGCCTACAGGTGGCAACTGTGCCCTGAGACCACCAGGCCTCCACTCCAGTGTGACTCCCCAGAGAAATCTGCATCCAGGAAGAGAAGAATTGATTAGAGGCTGTGATGATTCTTGAGAGGTAGATTGTCAGTGCAGGGTTTCCTACTCACCCCTCACCAAACTTGGAATTCTGAGAAGTACGATTGCCATCTACGTTCATGTTAATGGTGTTTCTAGAGCATCCAAACAGAGAGGTAGAAGTGAGAAGGGCCTGGAGGCAGGGGTGTGATACGGGTCAGCACAGGAGAGATCACAGGAGCATTGTTGGCTGACCAGCTCTGCAGTCCCTTTAGCTCTTCTGGGAACTGATTCAGCCTGTCTTAGCTCATTGTCATTGTGTTGTTTGGTAAGTCTTCAAGTATCCTTCTAATGAGTATTTGGCTTCCTGTGCAAATCTTTGTATGGGGAAGAACTGCCAGTGTAAATGTTAAAGCTACTGAACGTGACTTTTACGAACTGACTTTCTGTTGTCTACCTCTACCTGAGGCCAGACCCAGGGACCATGGCCCTGTAATCACAGTACCATAATGCTTGTGACACCTACTGGCCCTTTGATCAAACAGGAAGCATGAGTGTATAATATCACTACCTCCCTGGTCAACATCAAATGCTGCACATCTGATAGGAAGCTTCTTCATTTCCTGCCCTCTGACAACATTATTCCTGATTCTTTGAAGGTAGCTGATACAGTGGCTGCTGCACTCATTTATTTAGTGATAGACTTATTTCAGCAGATATACACGGGACTGGAGTTGGGTAACAGCCAGCTCTTCACCTCACATCCATCTCTGTTCCCGTTTAGCCTGAGGCATGTGTGCCTACTTCTCACTGCACTACTGAACAAGTGTGGGGCACCCAGCAGTACTCTCCCAGGCTGGCCTGGCAAGCTCCAGATGGAAAACATGCATACAGTCAGGACCCATATCAAACAGTGTTCCCAGCACCCCAGAAGTCCCTTTTTCTCCCTTTTATTTGCTGCCTCCCATGGGTAACCACTGTCTGGACTTCCAAGAGCATGGGATAGTTTTGTCTGTTTGGGGACATTTTATGAATAGAATCAAACAATATGTTTTCCTTTGTATTGGCTTATTTGCTCAACACTGTGAGATTTCTCACATGTATTTGTACATGGTTGGTTTTCATGACTGCATAGTATTCTGTCACGTGAATAAACCACATGTTATTTATCTAATGGATGTTTGGTTCATTTGGTTCATTCCCAGTTTGGAAATGCTATTAACTCATTATTGACTGGGAGATTTTTGCAGAAGCTAATGCCTGTGGCTGGCCAAAAATTAATTCTGTTATTTGACTAACACTTTATGGGTTATTACATTCAATAGTTAAGCCTGAAATACCTGTAAAGCCTTCTCCAGTATGGTGAGTTTTTTTTTTCCACTTTCTGTATCAGAGTCAATCACTAAGGTTTTTTTGTCTTTTTGTTGGTATAATAATCATATCATGTAAGTCAGAACTATATTCTGAAGAACTGTTATCTTCTGATATACCAGTGTATATGTCTCTTGAATAATCAAGCAAAGTATCTGCATAAACTTCACCAAAAGATTCTTCACTCAAAATTTAGCCACATGTCATTTTTGAAAATTTTCCTGGTAATAAACTTGCATTTATAGTACAAGGTTGAAACAAAAACCTGATGGAGCAAAATGTGAATGATAATGACAATCATAAGTTCTATGATGAACCCTTGATCAATTTTGAGCTCTGAAACTTTGCATGGTGATGTTAATTGTATCACTGTCTTAAAAACTTATTGATACGTCCTGGGTCAATAATGTTCGGGTAACAAAAGACATATTAATAAGTCTCTGGTCATTAAGGTGTTAATAGTACTGCTTCAGGTATTCTAGTCTGTGAACTTTAGAGCATGGGTACTCTTCTTTGCCTCGGAGTGGAACTCCTGGGTCACTGTACAGACATTGTGCTCAGCTTTATTGGACTTGCCCCAGCAGGTTTTCTGAGTTCCAGTTGTTCCATTTTTTCACCAACACTCAGTAGTGTCAGTCTTTTTCATTTTATTCTGGAAGGCACATAGTGGTATGTTACTGGCTTTAGGTTTCATTTTAATGCTTCTTAATGAGATTGTATATGGATTCATTACATATTCTAATGTATTGTCTATAGATCAAGCAAAAGATCTATAGATTAGCTAAGATAAAGTCAAGCATGTATCTGCTGATACTTTCTTAAGTCGACCTGTCTTTATACTTAGAAATGTCTGTTTTAATAAGCTTCCCTGGTGGCTCAAATGGTAAAGAATCTGCCTGCAATATAGGAGACCCGTGTTTGATCCCTGTGTCGGGAGGATCCCCTGGTGAAGGAAATGGCAACCGACTCCAGTATTCTTGGCTGGAAAACTTCATGGACAGAGGAGCCTGGCAGGCTACAGTCCATGGAGTCACAAAGAGTTGGACACAACTGAGTGACTATCACTCACACCACACACTCAATGAGACTGAGCACTTTTCATATGCTTATTGGCCTTTGTCCTCTTGTGAAATGTCTGTTCAAGTTTTGCCTGTTTTTCTACTGGGTGGACTGTCTTTTTGTATATTCTGGATACAAGTTATTTGTTGAATGTATTGTGAGAACGTATTTGGCAAAAAGCTCTTCTTTTTTGTTTTTGAATTGTGATATATGCCTTTATATCGAACACCACTTTCAGAGCTCATGTAGTATTTAATTTTATTCATCCATTTCATAATTGTTCATTTGTCTATTTTATGTATATTCTTTCACTATCCAGGTTACAGGCAAGGGGCTGGAGGTGCAGCACAGATTAAGGTAGACCATCACTGCTTGCATGGAGTGGACACCCAGGCCAACTTCACACTCCCCATGACATTCCTTGATCTCACTTGT